GATACTAGAATTCGGTATCAATCAATACTCAAATTTTTAAAGTGTCTATTTCCCTCTAACATTTGAACGCTGTTGAGCACATTCTTAAAACTTGATTTGCAATAGTCTTCACATGCTCAACAGAAATGACTGTGATTGGTCAAGAAGGTCATCAGTTCACCGAACTCACCACTGTTTACTTGGTGTAACCACAGATAAAGTTATACTGGAGGGTTTCAAAGCCGCAATTCATCAGCGGATTGCTCGTATGTGAGCTTATAGACAAACTAGCTGATCAACGCAACTTTGAAATGCTCCAATGTCCCTGTATCTGTAGTTACTCTCAGTAAACATAGGTGAGTTCTGTGAACTGATGACCTTCATGGCCAATCACAGTCATTTCTGGTTCTCTCAAGGTTTTTTTTCTTCACTCTCCTATCAGGTGAAGTTTTTTTTTTCCCTCTCCGCTGTCGCCACTGGCTCGCATGGTTCAGGATTGGTAGAGCTACGCATCGATGAATTTGCTCTTCAGTGTTTGAACTCTCAGTAATGATTTTAAATCACACTGAACTGAACTTAAACACTAACAACTGAACTACACTGTTCCAGTTACTATGACCATTTATGTAAAGCTGCTTTGACACAATCCACATTGTAAAAGCGCTATACAAATAAAGCTGAATTGAATTGAATTGAATTTCCATTGAGCACATGAACACATTGGCAAATCAGCTGTGTTTAAGAACACGCTCAACAGCATTTTTCAGCATCAATTGGTACCGAATTCCAGTATTGTGACAACCTTACATTATTGTATCCACAAAGCTATAGAAGGCAACCGCTAGTTTTCTTAACATTCTTCAGTGTATCCTCTTTTGGGTTTCACAGAAGAAAGAAACCTGAAACAGGTTTTTAACCGAAGTGTATAAAGATGACAGAATTTTAATTTTTGGGTAAACAATCCCTTTAAGCATCTTAACTGCTTTTAACATTGAGACATAAATGTCTTTTGGGCACCAAATCACACATTTAAATCATTCTAAAGGAAAAAACTACATTAAATTATGCCAAAAAAAGTCAGCTAGGCCAGGGGTGCCCAAACTCGATCCTGTAGGGCCAACACACACTGGCCTGGGAGTTTCTAGTATACCTAGAAAGATCTTGATTAACGTGTATGTCTATTTTGGTTTGGAACTAAACTACGCTGGACACTGGCTCTCCAGGGTCGAATTGGGGACCCCTGGCCTAGCTGAATTATTTTGCATAATTTAATATGTTTTTTAGCATCACACAATCCTTTTTAGTGATTCTAATGTGTAATTTATCTTTCAAAAACATAAATAAATGAGTAAACTCAAGCATTTAAATCAATTGTTTTAAGATTTACAAACATAAAACTCTATACAAACATAGGACTCTAGAAACTACGAAATAACTCCACTGTAAAACTTTAGGGTTAGGGCAGTCTGCTGTATGGTTACAATGACCATGTGATTTATGCCCCAAAGGTCAGCTCGAAGGTGTGAAAGTTAGTGTTATCTGATAAGATAAAGTGGCTTAAACAAAGTGGAGCGTCTGTGAATTAAACACTGCGATTATATAAACACTCTCATTTCCTTTTTGGCAGGTTAGGGCTAGTTCACTACTCCGAGGTCCCTATTAAGACAGCGGTGATCTAGTCAAATAGGCTATTTTCAGCTGTACAGCAGTAAAACACTTAAATGACTCCTTTAGCTCAACCTACTAATAATTGACACACACTATATTGAGTCTAGATAATTGTAGAGTTGTTTAATTTTGAATATGTGGCTTCTCTTTAAAATTCTGCAGTGAATACAAACATGAACATTAGTCAGTAATCGTCGTGTGAAAAGATGAGATTGTCGGTTTCATTACTCTCGCATTCAGTAGGTTGGAAATGGCTGAAGCAGATTAGCGGTTGGCTGTTTTACACAGCGTACATGATTTTCTCTGCATTATTTGTGCCCCCTGGCAAGGCTCTTTTAAGAAAGCCTGCAATTTTTCACTTTGCTTCGGTATAATTAGGTAATTGCCTTATAGTACAGGACTGCAATTTTGCTGTGTTCACCTCTGTCAGACGATTGCCTTCAGGGCGGCTCACCTTGTGTTATTATCTCCACAAAAATACACACACACACACACACACACACACATAGGCCGAGCCACAAAAGCTTTGTGACAGTTTTTCCTGTTCAGACCAAATGAAGTAGTAGAGCTAGTTTATGTATCGCTTGAATGGGGACAAATTGAGCTACTTAAGAGTGTGATTATTAAATAATGCTTCATGGAAGTACAGTTTTTAGTCACAGTTTATACAAAAAAAGTGTTTGTTGTGTGTTTAAGCTACTTATTTTAAACGAGCTGAAACAACACAATTGCTGAGCATTTTTCCCCCAACAACTTAATTGTTTATGTTCAATCCACTTAAATTTGTAAAATCTAATAAGTTAACTTCATTCATGTTGTCCCAACTTAAATTGATTGTGAGGAACCCAGCATTTTTAAAAGTGTAGTATAGTGTAGTATATCTCACTATTAGGCTTATTACCTGCCTATTATTAAAATATCAGCTGTTTATTAGTACTTATAAAGAACATAATTCTGCATGAACTTAATCTACATCCCTGATTCTACCCAATAAATACTGTGAACCCAACTACTACTGTAATAACTTTAAATAAGCAGCAAATTAATAGTCTACTGAGCTAAAATCCATAGGTAATGGTTTGTTAATAGCATGAAGTGTAACCCTATGTTTTGTGCCTTTTTGGCGCAGTCCTAGATCGAGAGGTACACAACCAGTCTAAATGTTGACTATATTCCATGTCTGCTTTGTGTCAAGTTTGTATACGTACAGCTTCATGGTCTGCGGTTGACAGCTCAGAGTGAGAAACAGACACAATATATAGTGTGTTGGGCAATTGGGGTTTTTTACAGCCAGCTAGCGCCACAAAACTGTCAAAATGGGCTTAACAGATGGAAAAAGAATCATTCAGTTGTTTCTTTCCGAGCGCAGATGAGCTGCTGATTAAAACGCTTAACAATGTTAAGTGGAACTGTATCGGGTGTGTCATTGAATCTTTTGGTCAGGGAGTTAAGGGAGATAATCTGAAAGTCAATAGTTTGTGATTGCAGGAATGAACGGCTTTCTAAATGTATTTTACAGGAAGCCACTTCTTATTACACTTCACATTTGCTCCAATTACTGAAAGCCCAGTTGCTAATTGTTATACTGCGGTTATAGATGTGAAACTATCTAAAATAATGAAATATTTAACCTGTACAGTTTGTTTACAGAATATTTGCTATGTTCTAACAGTTTTTTTTTTTTTTTTTAATATCGGTATAGTAATAAAATAAAATTACATAATACATTATTAAATAAAATCAATGGTAATGCTGTATATTTTAATGTTAGAAAAGATTTATGTTTTATGTACGAAAATTTATGTTTTTATGATTTATGTTAGAAAAGATTTACGCACGTATTGCATGGTTTGCGCAAATCACTCGAACTTCAGCAGACATCCAGTCAGCTTTAACCAATCAGAAGCTTTCTCTTGTAGATAGTGATTATGACATTTCCCAAGGGGATATCTTCTTGTTGACCCCAGAGAACAGTTCATTAAACTGGGCTTGGCTCAGTTGGTAGCATCACTGAAAGCACCACCTCCATCATCCAAGTATAATTTCTGGAGGAGTTGATGAACTCGCAGTGCTGGGTGCAGGTCTAGTGGTCTCAGACATGGCACCAAACGAATAAACTCTGTTTTTCAGCCTTCTTAAAGCATATGAAGCACAGCTACTATCTCAATAAAATCCATGTTAGCCACATAGCAATGAAGCTTAAGTCACCGGAAAGACAGAAGCCCTGCCCGTGACACGAATCCACGTCTGTTGTGAAGTAAAATTGACGCGTAAATGAAGCGAGTAAACTCAAAATGTTCACACATCTTTTTACACATGAATAGCTTGATTTATTTGCGCATTCCACGTGTGGTGTGAACGCAGCATCAGTTTCCAGTTTTTCATATCGTTTATAAACCAAAATAATGTTCTATCCTAACAAAAGACTTCCCATGTAGATAAATCTTAATAAAAAAAGACACTTGGAACTATTTTTGTAGTCCAGGGTCACATATTTGAATGATTTCTAAAGGATTACATGCATATCTATATGTATCCAATAAGCAAAATAAATGGTTTTATTTCACATATTACAAACATATACAGTTTTGTTTCAGTGTCAGTGTTTTTTTACTGTATTTCTGAACAAACAAATGCAGCACTTGAGCATATAAGGCACTTTCTCAAAAACAATGAAAAATTGAGCCTTGGTATTTATTTGGAAAATACCAGTTCAGATTTAGCTCACTTGCATTATTTCCTGGCTTATTTTTCTGTTATTTTATATTCTCTCTCATAAAAGAAAGAAAATCAATAGTCTTCCAAAATACCAATTCAGTCTAGGGGTTTCTTTTAAAAAGTTACCCTCACTATAAACAATTCAGAATAGCGCGGCCCATCTGAAAGGAAAATCTGAGCATGCAGTAGCTGAGGAGCAGAGGAAGAAACCACAGAGCTGACAGGAGCTTTATAGATCACAGCGCCATCAATCTCTGACATTTCAGCAGCGAGAGCAGGAGGCCAGAGCTCTGCCAAGCCCAGTCTGAAGCCTTTAGACGAGTGCTCGCCTGAACTGCGCTGAAATGAAGATGACGTCCTGCTAAAGCAGCCTGTTGATGGTTCTGATTTATGGGCCGTAAGTGTCGATATGACACGTTTCAGTGATGAACCTGACTGATAGACTGTCCGGTGTGTTGTTGAAAGCCTCTGCTGGCACTGGAGATATAGTGAGACCAGAGATTTAGGGTGCTTAAATGAGTCTGCTCGATAATGAAATGCCATCATTTTTACTGAAGGACTCGAGTCTGTTGACTACTCACTGTTTTAATACATTTTTCTTTCTCACTCGCCCCCCTCCCTCTCTTGTCACTCAGAAATCTGAGCCACAACAAGCTGACGGCAGTCGATATGGACATCCTCTCCAATCTGCCCCACCTGAGAGAAGTGTAAGTAGAACAGTCCCCGTCTTGTCACTTAGTTAGTGCTCAGTAGCTGTTTGCATTACCTATTTTCCTGCGCATTTTTAATATGTGCATAATTAAATGGTTGATGGAAACACTAAGGTGTGCGTAAGTTTTGAAAATGTGCATAAAATAACGTATGCACAAAACTGAGTAGGATAAACTTTATTTGATAAAAAAAGATGCACATAAACTACGATGGAAACACTTTTACCTAACAAATTCCAGTATGCGCATTAAAAAAGACATGTGATGTTGTTATAAGAGATCATGTGATGATAAACGTGTGTGAATGGACAAACCAGCAGGCTGATCACACTGTAAAACATCTGAAATGTTGTTTTGGTCTTTTTAAACTGTCTTAACTATTTCAGTATTAGTGTTATTATATTATTAATTAACTCCAGAATAATCAAGAGTGTCTGTGCTGCGTATCTCACACCTTCGAACGTCACCACACGATCATTGCTTGTCGGCACATTGTCTTCTGAGGTGCAGTAATTTATTAAATAAAGAAAAGATTGATCCAGCGTCTTCTACCACAGCAAAATCCGTTTTTACTTTTGATATTTGGCTCCACTTCATCAGGAAGTGACGATTTTGTCCTCTTTGACTTATTGGATGGAAACAATGCTTTATTCATTTATTATGTGATATTCCTGTTTTGTACATAAATTTAATTTGCAACTTTGGATGGTAATAAAGCTAATGATTTCAGAGATCAAGGAAATGTTGACAGAATTGTAAAATCCAGTCATAAAAATGGAATTAGCGGTATATATCGGTCTGTTACAATATCTGTTTGTTTGTTGTATCATATATTGCACCAAAATATATTACGATAAACGATTCTGTCATTTTAAGACCCTTTTATGCTACTCATTATTAAATGCCAGAATGACTATATAATATCATCACAATGCAAGTACACTCTTCCAAAGAACACATCATATTTTATTCTTAAGAATATTTCATTTCATTATAGTCATTTCAACAGTTTAATAATTAGGCATTGGAATCAAAATGTGAAAACGCATATCCTAAATAAATAATAGAAATTATTAACAAAAAAGTGCAAGGTACAAAGTAACGGAGGCTGCGATATCTGCTATCAGATCTATTATCAGTTGCTCCTATATAGCAGGGAATATGGCAGAATTTGTCAAATATTGTAAAAAAAAAAAAAAATAGTACTGACTTTTATCTCGTGTTGCTTGTGATGCTCATGGGCAATTCCAGCATTGCGGTAAAAACTTGAAACATAAATATTTTTGAGGGAAATAAACTTGCGATATGGATGTGACCTAAAAAACTATGCAAGTTTACAATAAACTTTACTTTGTGCCACATAAATTGTCATTTTCAAACTATTTTATTCGATTAACTAGAGATATTTGGAATTGCTCTCATGTTGTTGTCAGCGTTCATAGTCTTATTGTTTGAGGACATAAATCCATGAACTTTATTTCAAGAGCTGATCCGAGAGTCATTTTGTTAGCAATTCACTACTTTACACGAGAAAAGCTATTTTGTTTTAAAATGAAAAACTTTAATGATTTTAAATAACATCAATAAAAAATTATACTAAAATGCATTTAAATATTGCAATTAAGTCCAGAAATAAAACAAAAAGGATTTTTAGAAGAAATTAAACAAGTTATGAAACACCCTACACTGTAAAAATATTTGTTAATTAACAGATTCCATATTTCTTAATTTACAAATTTTCTTTTGTTTATTTGCGGTAATAAATTGCAAAGTATATTGTATAAGAAATGATATAAGGAAAATAAGTCTGTGGAATAACAGAAAAAGTACTGCCATTTTATTACCAATTGGTTTTTGTGCCGTAATTTACCATTGTTTACAATTTACACAACGTTTGTGGTAATTCATTTTGTACCACAAACACAGATCTACACAATATATTACTTCAAACAATTAAAAATGTCAATACAAGTCACTTTTCCAAAGGTTTTAACATCAAAAAGTAAAGATCAAGTTCGCACAATGCAATTCAAAAGCATAAATGCATGGGGAAAAAAACTTGAATTACAAAATATAAAAAATTGTTTATAAATAAATTTTAAGTGTACAAAGTCCAATCATCCTGTAGATATGCCCAGCATTAGCTGTAAATCTGCTCTTGCTTAATCAACTCAATTAGCATGCTAGCTTGAACTTTTCCAGGCCTGTAACAGAATGTTCTAGGGTGGTGTCGGGCCACACAAACTTTATGACCTGCGTTTGTTTTCAGGCATAGATGTCCTTTTTATATTGTTGTTTGGTTCAATGTAAAATGTTTAATCTCAACGTAAGGCCGAGTCAAGCATAAAAACGAGTTTGTTTCTGAGTAAAAGTGGTAGGGTAATGATACGTGTAAAATGTAAACCACATCTACAAAACATTCCCACAGCTAAAGCTCAGCAGAGAGAGGCAATCCAATGAAGTAAATTAAACGGTGTAATAATGTTAATTACCGCCATTAGCCACAATCAGTCATAAATCATTTTAAAGCGTGCTGTCAGTGCTATTGGATATTTAAGTACTTTTGCTGGTGGCTATTGTCCTGAAAGTGGCGGAGATTGGGAATAAAGAGGTTTGCTATTATAAGCGCTTTCCATCATCACCCGACACCAGCCACTAACCTGCGCTGTAAATATTTAATACATCGAGGGACTGTGTCTGGCCCTCAGCCAGACGGCCCGACTTTTGCTCTTTTTTTTTTTCTGTCACTGTCAGAAAGACCCTTGTTTCAAATGAATAAATAAATATCGCTGATGTATTTTCACCAGATATGTGAATTTATAGTAAATATATGCGATGATCATACATTTTTTTTTAAACCCGCTTTCATTTTAATATATTTATTACAAAATAAATTCAATTCATGGATCAGATTACATACAGTTGAAGTCAGAATTATTAGCACCCCTAAATTATTAGACCGCTTTTTTTTTTTTTTTCCCCCAATTTCTGTTTTAAGGGTGAAAAGATTTTTTCAACACATTTCTAAACATAATAATTTTAATAACTCATTTCTAATTACTGATTTATTTTATATTTACCATGATGACTGTAAATAATATTTTACTAGATATTTTTTAAAACACTACTATACAGCTTAAAGTGACATTTAAAGGCTTAACTAGGTTAATTAAGTTAACTTGGCAGGTTAGGGGAATTAGGCAAGTTATTGTATAACAGCGGTTTGTTCTGTAGATTATCAAGAAAAAATATAGCTTAAAGGGGCTAATAATTTTGTCCCTAAAATAGTACATAAAAAAATTTAAAACTGTTTTTATTCTAGCCGAAATAAAAAAAATAATACTTTCTCCAGAAGAAAAAATATTATCAGACATACTGTGAAAATGTCCTTGCTCTGTTAATTATCTTTTGGAAAATATTTTAAAAAGAAGAAAAAAAATCGAAGTGGGCTAATAATTCTGACTTCAACTTTATATACCATATGTATAAATAATAGCATACATTTTTACATTGATTTACAGAAAATGTCAAATCTAATTTAGTGTAAAAATTTAGGATACTGACTTTTTAATCATTTTAATATCTTATTTTAATATCTTATAATTATGCATGATCACTTTTGTGATACTTTTTTTATCAAGGATGGGTCAGAAGAACTTTCATGTTTACATACATATATGGTCACATTTTATCTCAGTTGTTCGTTAAACCAGAATTTGTGTGTATAATATGTTCTTTTTTTTTTTTTTTGTAAGTTTTAGTAAGACAGCGATATGGAAGATTTTGTTTAAAAATATTGATATACTTAAACGTGCATAATTGAGAATTACATGCGTTTTATTATTAATATTATTATCATCATCATCATCATCATCATCATCATTGTATTCAGTTACCATCATAAAAGTACAGTATGTCAAATAGATTAATTGCAGATTTATTGTAGAAGTATATCATAGAAATCATTAAAGTTAAAAACAGATTATATTATATTATATTATATTATATTATATTATATTATATTATATTATATTATATTATATTATATTATATTATATTTATTATATTATATTATATACACGTGTATGCATGTATGCATGTATGTATGTATGTATGTATGTATGTATGTATGTATGTATATATGCATCAAGCTATGCATGTTTAAGCTATGTTTAATGTATTTTCCCTTTTAATTGAATTAATTTCTTTTTTTGATTGACAGGAGGCTTGACCACAATGAGCTGACATCTATCCCTTCATTTGGAGATGCCGCAGCATCAGTTGTTACACTTCTCCTGTAAGTGAAACATTGTATGCCTTGATGACTGCTGAAGCTGCACTTTCTATGCATGACAAAAATGACTGTTTACATCATACGGGCAATCAGAAAAAAAGAAAAAAAACGGGGTAGTTTGCTTTTCCCATTTGCAAAGTTTAATAGTGATTAAGTAGTTATTAAACTGGTTTGTGCAACCCCTAAAAATTTCCACCTGTGATAGACTAGTGGTAGTGTTTAGTGTTGCAGGCTGTGTTAGTGAAACTATAGAATGGTGGAACTGCCTTTACCAGCATTACCCGTGCGGGTTACACCCTTATTTGTGGTTATCACATGTTCAGTTAAAGTCAGAATTATTCACCCTCTTTCAGATTTTTTTTTCTTCTTTTTAAAATATTTTCCAAATGATGTTTAACAGAGCAAGGACATTTTCACAGTATGTCCGATAATATTTTTTCTTCAGGAAAACATCTTATTTGTTTTATTTTGGCTAAAATTAAAGCAGTTTTTTTTTTTTTAAACGCCATTATAGTGACAAAATTATTAGGCCCTTTAAGCTATATTTATTTTCTCGATTGACTACAGAACAAACCAGCTTTATACAATAACTTGCCTAATTACCATAACCTGCCTAGTTAACATAATTAACCTAGTTAAGCCTTTAAATGTCACTTTAAGCTGTATAGAAGTGTCTTGAAAAATATCTAATAAAATATTATTTACTGTCATCATGGTAAAGATCAAATAAATCAGTTATTAAAGATGAGTTATTAAAATTGTTATCTTTATAAATGTGTCAAAAATCTTCTCTCCGTTAAACAGAAATTGGGAAAAAAATAAACATGCGGTCTATGAATTCAAGGGGGGCTAATAATTCTGACTTCACCTTTGTGTGTTGGTTTTTTAGTTGTTTAGACTCATTCATTTGTATCTAGGTATGCAGTTATGAGTTTTTGCAGTATTTGTGTTAGCATAGTAATTGGCTAGAATCCAATGTTAATTTTAACAGCAAATCTTGATATTTATTTATTTTTATTCATAGTCTTTTGACTAAATAGCATTTTTTTTAGTCTTCTGAATTAATTGGAGTTTTAGTCTACTCTTAGTTGACTTAATTTAATAAAAGTTTAGTTGACTAAATCTACTTTAGAATTAGTTAGCTTAAAATCAATCTAGTTTAGCAATTAGCATAATGTATTATATATGCACATTGCTACAATTTCGAAGCCTATATAATCCTGGAGAACACACTTTTAAACATGAATCATTAAACAATTAAATTTTAAAACGCAGCATACAATGCATTCTTTATGATAAAGCAGCTATATATAGGGCTCTTTATTCTCTCAAGCAAATATGTTTATTTGCATAAATTGAATATAACTAATTCTGCTGTACCAAAGATGTTTATTACGCTGCTGTCAGTTTAAATGCTCAAGTAATACTTCACCTTACAAATATCTTACTGATACTCTATGACCAAATTATGGAGTATCTTAAGGGGGGAAAATAGCAAATTAGGGATCTCATTGCAAGGAAATTTTTTTACCAGTAAGAGTGCGTGTCCACCAAAGCTTTTTTTTTTTTTTTCCTAATAATTGGTTATGTAGTGCTGGGTAGATCAGTATATGCTATAGTTCAAATGTGCACAGCTCATCTTGCTAACACAACTTGTCCTGAACTTTTCCATTTTGTTTTTATTTGTTGACGAAAACTAATTTTAATCAACATTTTGTCTAGTATTAGTCAGTGTAAATTTTTCTTTGACATAATATGACAAAAATAATTTGCCAATAAAATGACAGGGTGTCCTCAGGGTCTTAAAAAGTATTAAAAGTTGATAAATAAATGTAGAGAAATTAAAGAGTATTAAATACTTAAGTCTTAAATGCTATTTTGCAAGGTATTACATTTTATATCATTTTTGAGTATGCAATGTATGGTTGTATGTTAAAATTTACCTGAATTAAATCTGAACATCAGGATGCTGTGTAGTTTATGAAATCAATAAAATTCTGTTAGATTTGACATCACCCTGCTTTGATTACTGCAATAACCAAAGCAACACTGTCATTTCTGCAGTTCTATTGGTGCCAACCTGCTAGATTTAATAGATTTGTATTCAGTATATAAAAAATGTTTTAGTTATGGATTAGTTTCTTACATTAATATTTTGTAAATAGACTGTACATTGAAATCTCAATATTAAGAGTCTTAAAAAGGTCTTAAAGGTATTGAATTTCACAATTCCTGTAAATACTCTGAATAAACAGATGCTGGAATCAGGCCTGAGTTTCAGGTTTATACTTTAATATCAAAGGAAAATTGAGTAGTTTATTCACAAAGCATTCAAACAGAATTGCACATTGCACAGTACAACAAAAAATAAGTTGTTTTTAAGCATCATAAATGACACATTTCACTTTGACAACCACTAAATGTTGCTCAAGTCATGTTCAACCAGCAGATCCCTGTTTTCCCAGCACCAGTTTCACTGTATCTTCTTCACACTGACTGATATCCCAGCAGTAATCTGTCTTCAGCAAGGATCATGTTTCCATCTGTAATATATCTCCCCACTACCAAATGTGTCGTTCATTTGAGCGGTAAAGTGATCGGTGTCTTTATAGCGGGCAGTTGTGCTGTCATGGTGTGACCTCATTGATTTACAGTTAATCACCATCTCCCAGAAATGATGAAAACCGTCAGTCCACTTCACAGGATTCAAACACTTGATATTACACTGGCTGTGCTTGGAGGATATCGGGAAAAGGTTGGAATGGGGGGAAGGCGTTGTGTGATGGTTCAAATGGAAGGGCGCTTCTTTTTTTGGTCTTGGTCTGAGGCCTGTTACTATGGAGGGCACTTGCATATCAGGAAGGGCTTGTCTTTTTTGAGCCGCACAGCTGAATGCTGTCGAACGCCCAGCTGTAGCTGTCAGTCAAGTAATTTACTGTAAAAAAAAAAATGGGGGAGGGTTCATTCAGTGGTTACCGATACAGGCGGAGGAAGGGTTTGGAACAGAAAGAGCTTGAGTTTTCGGTTTCCACCTGTGAGGAACACCTGACCCCGCTCCTGCTCGTGGCTCTTGTTCGGACCACCGCTCGGCTCACAAAATTCCTCCCCTCTGAGTTCACCAGCTGGAATGCTGTCGGACAGCAGTTCCCCTGTGATACGGTCACAGAGCCAGCACTAAAATACTGGCCCGTCTGTCACCAACACCAAACTCCTCAATGCCCCATTTCATCTCAACTGAGGACGCCATTTAAACAGTAGTGCTCTCTTTCACTCTCTCTCTTGTGAAGTGGTTAAACAGCACCGTCGCTATTCTACTGATTTTAATCTTCTCCTTTAACTTTTAACGGTTGTGCTCACCCAGTTTGCTGTGGGATGTACAGTTGCACTCTTTACAGCCAAGGCAATACAAATGCACATTGGAAAGCTGCGTTTTAGTGGTGTGATTGTTAGCTTTTGGGGAGAGTTTGACAGATGTTAGTCTTGCTAGGGCTGGGTGGGTTTATCGCGAGTCCACGTTTATTTACATTAAGCATAATATATTTCAGTTTGTTCTTTTTAAATTTTTTTCCCGGGCAGTTGGCAGTTTTTGAAAAGGGCACGTTAAAATAATTCTGACTTCAACTGTGTGTGTGTGTGTGTGTGTGTATATATATATATATATATATATATATATATATATATATATATATATATATACACAGTTGAAGTCAGAATTATTAGCCCCCCTGAATTCATAGACCGCTTGTTTATTTTTTCCCCAATTTCTGTTTTACGGAAAGATGATTTTTTCAACACATTTCTAAACATAGTTTATACTATTAACATAGAAATAGTTTTAATAACTCATTTCTCATAACGGATTTATTTTATCTTTGCCATGATGATAGAAAATAATATTTGACTAGATATTTTTCAAGGCACTTCTATACAGCTTAATGTGACATTTAAAGGCTTAACTAGGTTAATTAGGTTAGCTAGGCAGGTTAGGGTATTTAGGCAAGTTATTGTATAACAGTGGTTTGTTCTGTAGATTATCGAGAAAAAATATAGGTTAAAGGGGCTAATAATTTTGTTCATAAAATGGTGTTTAAAAAAATAACAACTGCTTTTATTTTAGCCGAAATAAAACAAATAAGACTTTTTCGAAAAGAAAAAATATTATCAGACATAATGTGTAAATTTCCTTGCTCTGTTAAACATCATTTACAAAATATTAAAAAAAAGAAAAAAAAAATTCAAAGGGGGCTAATAATTCTGACTTCAACTGTATATATATATATATATATATATATATATATATATATATATATATATATATATATATATATATATATATATATATATATATATATATATATATATATATATATATATTATTATTATTATTATTATTATTATTATAATTTTAATTTTTTTAAAGAAACAGATGTTGTATATTCATACGCACATGTACAGTGAAAAAAGTAAACTCTTTTCTTTAAGCTAATTTAACAGATATATTAAGAACGTAAATAATGTCTTTGGACTTGTGGGGAAACCCATGCGAACGCAGAGAGAACATGCAAACTCTATTTCAATCTTTATAGTTTTATTAAAATATAGCTGCAGAGCGCACTTTTTGGAAGCAATGCCAATAAGCTTAGAGTGTAATTTAGTCATTTCCAATAGAGGCGCACGGTGCACATAAGAGAGCGACTTGCACATGGTGTGCAAGCGAGAGATGGCAGAGGAGCGCGAGCACAAAGTCTATAATAAATGGTCAAGGAATCCATGTGCTAGTCACATCAGATCAGAATAATAACACATGTGAAAACGAGTGCTGTATAGCAGCCATAGAATGTCACCAGAGTGGCTTTTTGGTTTCTTTTGTAATGTTGCAGTATATATTTAAATAATGATGGTAAGTTCCTTTACTTGAAATTTGTGTTGTTGACAGTTTAAGGTTTCATTATTATTCACACCATAAAGTTTGCGTTGTTTGATTGGTTAGTATTTACGCTTTTACTGTTGAACACACTCTATAACATTTTATTTATCGTTTAAGGGTCTCTTTACACAGAGAGATTTTGTTTAAAAAAATGTTGTTTTTGACTATTAAAACTATTTGCCTTAGTAATGTTGAAATTAAAATAAAGTAACATTTAAAAAATCCTAATATTCCTAAATGTATTGTTGAAAAATATTCAATAACTGAATTAAAAAAAATAATCCTCATTGAACAAAATACATTGTCTATTAGGAAACATTTATAATAATTTCTAACAGTAAACATGTCAGGCTAAATGATTAAAATAAACCATTGCTGTCGTCATTACTTTCAAAAACACAGATTTCTTTACAACACATAAAAAAAAAACACATAAAAAACTTTACAGATATCTTAGGTACGGTATACTAATATTTTTGCAATTTTTAAAACCTTGACTTTCCAAACTGTGTTTAACCTTAAAACAGGTTATTGTCCCATAGATGGGTTGTTTACCATATAGTCACAGTCCAGCTCTACCCATTTCTACCAAGTTTGAGGTCACAGAACACCCAACCAAAAAACACAATTTCATCTCCTTACTTTTTGGAGTTCATCAAGCAGATAAGCCAATCAGTGCTACCTATCGCAGCTTACTTGCTAATCCTGTGTTCAATGCCGCTTTGGTTGGATTAACCAGTTAAAACGTTCTGCTTCCCACACTCTTTCTCTCTCTCTCTTTCTCACTGCAACAACTGATCATGACACTGATCCAGATGACAGTGTGAAACCCTGCTATGGACGTCTATTTATAACCCAAACAAGCATAAAAAAGCAACTAAACAATAATCAAAGTCTGTATAAACTATTGATGTTGGCCTTTCTCTAGGATCAGTTAGAAGGGTTAGTTCTGTTAGAAGGATTGGTAAAGTTATAGATCTCAGCAGTATCCCATTTGCGGACTCAGGCCTGGGATGGCCAGCGCACAAGTATGGACCGATTCTCTCGTTAACGTCAGCATGTTTTTTTTTGCCCGATGAAGGTCACCAGCTGCTGACCTGCTACTCAGTGGAGTCTCAGTGCTCTGTTAGTCACAGGAACATCCTGTAGGGCGGTGAGCACAGCGCTCGTCCTTATCCATACCCTCTGTCTGTTTATTCAGGTGGGACAGTGGGGGTACTCCCTCCTTTTCTCTTTCCTTCCGTCGTTCTTGCTCGTCCTTCCATTCCTCTTTCTTTTTCCTCTCTTCTCACAATTCCCACTCAGAATTCCAGTGAAACGGTCAACCCAGGGAGCATGTGCGTGTCGGCCGGGTCTGATCTTCACTGGGAAAGGCCTCGCTGGTCTCTCAGGCTCCCACAGAACACCTGCCAGCAGACAACCAGAGCAGAAATCCCCTCTTGGTCTCAGCGGACCATGTGTTTACCGTGAGATTTACGCAGAACTGGGAATCCGAATAAGGAGGCTTTGTTGTTCTAGCACGGACTCGTCTTCGCTGTATGGGCCTGTCTGCCTGGGCTTTGTAGAGTTTCCTGCTAGCATTGATCATGGCGCAGGTGCAGGAGTGTTGAGCATGACTAGCCAAACTCAATGAAGGACATTTCAGATGTTTTGAAGAACTCCTGATGAGAATGCTCTTGATGAAGACTGTTTTTTTTTTTTTTAAGTAGAATATTAGAATTGGAAGATTAGTTGGTCCATCACATACTTATGAAGAAATCACATTGGTGGTACCATTATATGGTCCATTCAAGACAATAATATATCAAAGTACATCTTGTACCATGCAAGATGTACTTTGTCTTGAATAGACTACATTTATATCCCACAGTGTTTAACCCAAAGCTTTCATCTCATGCAAAGTCATTTCCTTACTCCCACCAGCTTTATGTACTAGCGAGTTTAATAGAGGGAGATTTTCTTTTTAGTATTGTCCCATCCTCCAGTGAGGGGATGGCTTATTCTGAAACTACCCCAAAACAAATTCCAGATGTGGAGAGCCTTGACCTTGCCATTCCTTCTGTGGCCGGCAAAAACAAGTGTGATTCTTAAGTCAGCTGCTTTCACATGCCTCAGCTCTAAAGAGAAATAGAAGCAAAGAAAAAAAGAGAAAAATACAGAAATCCATAGTCCCCAAGAGAGACAATTGATTTGATTAGTCTTTTCTCAGTTAACAGCTGTTGACACCAAGCCAGATGTGACTTAATGACTAGAAAACAAAATATTTGAATATAGAATGTAGTTCAGTTTCTGTGTGTGAATCTATTTGTTCTCAAATTAAAAAACAAAAACAAAAGAAAACTAAAAGAACAGAAAGAAATACTAACATATTAGTTCATAATCTAATCTGAATTTAACATTTAAAAAAAATACCTGATATGTTACAATTTTTACAAGAATATGGAATATTAACAACAACAGAAAAGTTGCTATCCTAGGGCTTAGTCTCCGATTCATCTGGCATATGTTTTATGCGGCGAATTAAAGCAAAATGTTTTTGATCAAAATCTCCATCCAAATAAAATGCAGAAAACAAGATACCTGACAAACTTTGTCCGTAAACAGCACAAAAATATAATATATTCACAAATAAAAAGTGTTTACATCAGTATTCATATTAAATGCAATCCAATTGCAGGTTTTTGATTTTCTGAAAAAGTTGAACACTGCAAAGGGCACAGAAAATGGTTAAGGAAACCAGACGCTGGCACTTGTCATTTCAGGTCAGAATAACAACACATGCAAAAATGAGTGCCATAAAGCAGCAGTATGGAGATTGTAAATAAAAAAGGATGTAAGGATGTCGCCAAAGTGGCTTTTTGGTTTCTTTTCTTGTGCATCACAGCCACTAGCTCCCCATCTGGAAGTTTTTTTTTTTTTTTCATAGGGGGTAATATCGTCAATCAACTTTACAATTTGCAATAATGCAACATGTTGTTTTAATAATAATGGTTGGTTTCTTTACTTAAAAGCTCAGATTTGATTATCATAATTCCTTTTGTTTACAGAATTTGAGGTTTAATGTATCAATAATATTGACACCTTACAGATGCTGATCTACCTTAAATATTGCACACACTTTGTAATCACTTTATCAAGTTTAAGAGTCTCTAGATCAGATATTTTGTTTAAATATTTTTGCTTTTGATTATTAAAACTATTTGCCTCATTAATGTTGGCAAATTAATAAAAAGTGGTTAAAAAATCCTTATATGCACAAATGGATTGTTAAAAATATTCGATAATTATCATTACCGAAACATGATATCGTGATAATTGTTTTGGCAATATTGCCTCGGTGTAGTATATACTATTAAAAAACTAAAAATAGTCCAGTCCAGTGCAAAAATAGACATGATTCATTTAAAACTATGCAAAGCATTTTTTATGATGTGATAAATGTTATATTTTTGTGTTAAATTAAGCACCACATAGTTGTCTCTTAACTTTAACCCGGAGTAGGATTGCAGTGTTTTAACGCCCAAAAGTTATTTGAGTCAGAATAAATTTAGTCGCTGTTAATCTCCTCACTCGCACCCAAAGCTATATGTACAGAAACAGACATACACAGGTTAAGATGAATCTTTCATCTGACTGATATTTGTCACCATAGCTGGCTTTTTGTTTGGGATTCCAGGCTCGTATGTGTTTGTGCGTCTGCGTACGTGTGTTGACAAATCAAGTTACCGTATCAAGCCACAGTCACTTGGCACTTCTGTAGGCGTGTGTGGAAACAAGCCTCCATTGGGCTTCAAAGCCCTATTGACACATTCCCTCCAAAAGAGCCTCATGTGGTTATAGCAGCCCGTTGCCTATCAGCACAGATATGTGGGTCAGCATATGGTTTCACATAGTTACCCATACACTGAAAACGGGATTGAAGAATTACCAGTAACCAAGTTAAAATCCAGTCTTAATTTTTGTTAGGATACTTACTGTATTTGCTTGATCTGAGTAGACATTAAACAGTAAATTAGTCTTTTGTATTCTGTCCACGGATTTATACAGTTTGTACAATTGTGTATAGAGTTATAATAGATGTGCTTTCTTCTTCTCTTTTCTAGGCACCATAATAGAATCCGCAGACTGGAGGGGAGTCTTCTACAGAACTTCTCTGCTCTTGAGACGCTAGATTTGAGTAATAATGACATCACAGAGTTGAGAGAGCACTGCTTCCCTCTGGGGTTACAAATCAAAGACCTGTAAGAAACACATTCATTCTTAGTCTCTCCTTCAAATAGATATAACTGTGAACATCTGTATTTTTCTTTACAACACTGTGTTGTTTCATAATCTGAAGCATAATATTTCATCTCTGTAGGCACCTGAGCAGTAATAAGATCGTTCATCTGGAGTTCGGGGCATTTAAGAATCTTGCCGGGAGTCTGCAGATCCTCAGATTGAGCCGGAACCGATTAACTCATCTTCCTGTTAAAGGCCTGGAGCTGCCCAAACTCACACAACTGTGAGTGCAACATATTGTCTATAATAATCCGTTCATTTCCAGAACTAACATTTCCAACACTCTTTTCATCCAAGATGTTAGTTTCTTTCTTCATTCGAAAAAAGTTGAAGTTATTTTGTGAAGGTCTAGACTTTCTCTCCATATAGTGTACTTCTATGATGATCCGTGAAATTGAACTTTTATTTGCAGTTGTAGTGCAGTTTCAAAAGGTTCCCAGCCGAGGAATAGGAATTTTATGTAGCAAAACAATTGTTCATTTTTGTTACAAAAAATTTTAATAAATAAAAAAGACTAAAATTTTTAACCATAATTTTTATTATTTATTTATTTTTTATTTAAAAAAAAATGTTAATTACTGAATATATGACTGGTCATGGGGAAGATCACAATATTGAAAAAGCAAGGCACACTACACTAGGGCTGCACGATTCTGGCTGAAATGAGAATCATGATTTTTTTTTGTGACACTTTTATCATGATTCTGTAGATCTAAACTAAAGGTTAATATGAGTACGCTATTATTATTATTGTTGTTGTTAATTTTTAAACATAAGGTAAAACAACAATGCCAATATTAGGTCTATATGTAGGTCTTGTTGAATTATTAGGTTTAAGACATATGCTTGTAATTTGTCATTGATTATTAGTAATGAAACACTGACTATGTTTACATGGACACCAATAATACGATTTTAATGCGATTCAATCCAAGACAATACTCTGATTAAGAGTTAACCATGTAAACAGTGATTTTTGATTAATAAGATTAGGGTCATAATTAAACTGAAGAGAAATCGAATTAAGACATGTGGAGTATGACAATTTTTGTTTGGCAATCTTGGCACCATCCAATTCAGTGCAGACACAGACACCTGCATCGTGAAATGCGGAGGTTTTTTTTCTTTCATTTTGCATGCGTTTTCAACTTCCATTAAAACAACACTTCCAGCAGTTCATAGTTGCATCCAATATCTCGTTTGTCACGGAGGGTGTGCATGAAATGTTCGTTAATGAACGTGAAAGTGCCAAACTGCAGTTAAAGTCTACAAATTAAAAATGAAACACCCGAAATTGCATGAAACTGCGGAGAAAATTCGGGTAGCAACGTGATGAGATTAATCGAAATATGTGATATACCAAATAAAACGGGGTCTTGAAAGAAACATTCAAAAAGCAACTCATGTAAACACCTCAGTCTTATTATTCTCGTAATTAGATTAAAGCAAATAATTTCGATTTCTGATGTCCATGTAAACGTAGTCATGAAACATTTGTCATGATCAGATTTCCTTTTGCATTCTATTCAACATTATAAAGACTACAATAGTTATACTGACACTGTTAAACATTTATTCTCATGCACAACACTTGTGTGTTTGATATGAAGGAAAAACGTATCAAATAGTTGTCATAATCATAACTTTAAAATGCTACATGATAATTTAAATGATGGGCCCGCCGGTTTCACCTTCTCATGTCATGTTCTGCCGTCATTTTGAGTTCAGTTTGTTATTCACAGCCTATGCAGGTTCTGTTCCCTAAAGAAGAAATCATTGACTGACAAGCACATGTCCTCTTGGTAATAAACAAACTGAAGCTCATATATAAAACAATGTGAAGAGTTCTGCGACTGCCTTTGCACTTCTCTCCCGACTTTGAAAATATAACTGGCTGAATAGTAGAAATGCTGAATTAAGATTGTGTGTAGGGTGGAATCGAGATTGTGACCTTTTCTCAATAAATCGTGCAGAATCATGTAATGTGCACTGATTTAAAAAAAGAGCAGTGTGTTGAACCTTTATGTTACTATGCAAATTCTGGAGCACTTGCTATTAGGCGCTTTTTCCACTTAATTGACTTCTTTTCAACGGTAGGCGCACAGAGCAGTCAAAAATGCGAGGCACAAGATTACGAAGGCACGAGATAAGCATGAAGTGCAGTGTGCAAAACTCTTGCTGCCAATGAGAAATGGTTTTAAAAAGGCTATCTTTGTAAAATATGTGATCAGGGCCTTCACCTTCACCGCTCAACTGCAATGAAAAAACTTAGAAGTTTAAACCACTGCGCACCATAGTCAACTATTGAAAAAAAATGTAGGTTTTATTTTCAGATGTCAAGGGCTGAGTAAATTATCAGGATTTTTTTTGGAAGGGAACCACTTCTTTAAGAAATGAATAAAGTCTTTTTAATTATTCATCAGTTTTGGAAGCTACCATTTAAAGTATCTTCCCCAACACTGGTTTTCACATGCTCTATGAAACATATCAGTATTTATAATCAGAAGAGCTTTAGTAAACATCAGAGCCGGATGATTCTTTTTCTCCATAGCAGATCTAGCTGTGCCCCGAGCATCACCATCTGCACCTAAGCTCTTTGTTTCTGCTCATATCAGAGTTCCATCAAAAATATGCTTTGTTCTTCAGGTGGACAGGGTGATACTGAATCTCTGTATGCATGATGCAACATAAGCTCATATTAAACCTCTCACACACACAGAGGCACACACACCTGGAGCGCATTTCGGCAACCACAAAGCCACAGCTATGTTGGTGAGCGAGAAGAATAGGTTAGTTAGTTATGACATCAAAGTGGGATCAGAGACGCTCTGTTTGAGCTGATGGTCAGCCTGACATGTTGTCTATTTACAGTTGTACACTCTCGCAATGATGCCGTATAAAAATAGCACAAGACTGTCATTGATTTCCTAAGCTATCTGTGAAAGCAGTTGATACAAATTTTTCATATAAAGGACTCAAGGTGTTTTTGTCTGCAATATTAAAAGAATTTTACGTTAACACACACTTAACATGTCTTTCATTCTGGCACGTGCAAATACTGTGTTCATGATAGTGCCAAAAGCTCTTCTGCACTGTAACATACAGACTTGATTCAAACTATAGTCTTAAAAATACTAATAAAGAACAATTATGTAAGTTAGTGGTGTAATGGATCACAAATCTCACGATTTGGATCACAATGTTTTTTTTTTGTCACGGATCGGACTATTTTTTGGATCAGCCATTCAGATTCGGATCTTTCCATTTATTACAAAAACATAACTGCATGACACTTGTTTTTAACAAACAAACCTGTAATTGTATTAAAAATAAAATGAAGAAATAATTTGCTGAATAAAAATCAATTGTAAAATATCAGTACTGTGAAAAATTTACTGTAACTACTAATGTTGCTGGTTATGCTAAAAGTAGAAATCTAACATAATTTGTACAACCCATATTTATTTTTAGTCTCATTTTCAATAAATGATTCAGTTATTCACCTATAAAACTTCATGTTTTATTATTAGACGTGTCATTTTTGAAGAATTATTCAGTGGGATATTTTTGACGACTAGTTGTTGCCAACTATTGGTTAAATATTGTAACTGCTTACTACTACTTTCAGTTTTGAGCATCGTTAAATGCATATGACGGTGATTTTAATCTTTACCATAAACATCAGTGGTTTTATCTAAAGTGCAAACTGTTCTCCCAGTACTTCTGTGTTATTTGACTGTTTGTAACTTTATAACTAACGCAAAAGACTAAAGACTGAGGCCCCGTTTACACTAGTGCGTTTTAGTTTTAAAACGGCGTTGTAGAATGAAAACGATCCGCGTCCACACTCGCGTTTTACCCAGCGTTTCTAAACAGCTCTCCGTCCACACCAAAACGCTGAAAACGCACATCACGTGACCACACACACACTCTCGGGCAAGCGATCCAGCATTTCTATCCAGATGAGAGCTCTGCTTGTCGGACTGCTCATCAAGCATCTCCCGCTGGATCTAATCTCACTATATTTGCTGAACGTGATATTTCATTCATGTTGTTGTCTTTATCTAACGACATAGGCCAATTCCCTAACTTTGGTCATTGGAATCTATTAAGTTACTTGTTCACGGGTAACATGTTTTGGTTAAGCGCAAAGATAAGTTAATGATTAATCCAGGTACATTGACTGATCGCTTGCCTTTATTTCCTACAATGTATAAACTTATTGTATGTTATACTTTTATAATTATCGATTATTAAAACTGATATTCAGCAAAAGAGAGGGTGCGTTTCGTATTTTCACTGAAATTGAAAGGAAACAGTTGTTATTGGCTCCGTTTTGTTATAAATGTCCACACAGTGAAGATGACGCTCATATATGCAGCACGACGCCTCAACATTTCTGCTGTCTGTTAAGTTGCTAATATTAAAAAGTAAATAGTTCCTTAAATCATGTTTACATTTTATTGTTGAGAAAGTGAAACAACGTAGCCAAGGTGATGTGAATGAAGTTATAAAGTACACTGTTCCCTTTGAAGATTTACCCGTGTCCTCGGTATGTTTTCCATATGAAACTGAGAAGGGGGAGACTGCAGCCTTGATCAAACTTGCGAAGTCTTAACTTACAAGAAGAGGATGCGAGACTGAACTGTGTGTGGGCTACTTAATATTGAGGAAAAGCCCCAATCAGATAGGCGAACGTTTGCAGCCCCGCCTCCGTTTTCAGATGTCTCCGTCTTTCCCCATCCACACTGAGACGGAGCAGCAGCGTTTCAGAATGAAAACGGCCTTTCCAGCGTTTTGAAAAAGCTCCTTTTTCGGCGCTCGAGAACTCCGGCGTAGTGTGGACGGATGGCGTTACCGTAGCAAAACTTATGCGTTTTCAAACTAAAACGCACTAATGTAAACGGGGCCTGAATCTCATTTTTTGATTTTTGCATTTTCAGATTTGATCGCAGTGATTTGAAGAATTAATTAACTTGTGCAAATCACCATCATTAAGAATTTATGTTGCTTGGGTGTTGAGAGCTTGATCTTTTAATGATTAATCATGCAGCTTACACTAATTGCTTTAATGCAGGCTAAACAAGTAAAAGAAAACACCTTTAATAACCTAAGAAACCCACCACATCCTGAAAAACCTACCACTTCTTCCGTCATCATTATATTTTACAGGAAAGCCTAAATGCTTTCATACATGTGATTCAAATGACGCAAGAGGCGATCTCTCTGTGATCCTTAAAAAATTATAATTAATCTACCAGAAAAAATATTATTAATTCTTGGGCCACGTGTGTTCCGAATCTTGATCCATTACAGCCCTAATTTAAGTTTATGAGTATGTTGTCAATTAGCATTGTGCAATACACAAAATATGTTTTTGAAAATTTGTAAAAAGAAAAACTGACTTTAACATGTGTAACATGTAACCTGCTCAGTATTGCCTATTTGTTGAAATTGTACAAAAATAATGTCATGTTCATTCATTCAATAATAACTTCATACAGGGTTTTATACAGTTTTTCGTTCTCATTTCTTGATTTATAAAGTCATTTTAATTGCATTCGTCTCAGCTGTTTTGCTCATTTTATTTACTTTATTTCTGTGTTTTGTAGGGAGTTGAGTAGGAACAGGTTGCGGTTGATCGAGGGACTCACCTTCCAAGGTTTGAGCAGTTTAGAAGTTCTCAAGCTTCAGAGAAACAACATCAGCAAACTAACAGATGGGGCATTCTGGGGTCTGGCCCGGATGAGGGTTCTGTGAGTCCAAACTTTCATGTTTCTACAACTTAAAAAGTGTTATACAAGTATTCATATACATTTAAATAACATGTAATAAAGTGATATGATCATTTGCATTGCTCATTGTAAAGTTTTTCACATTTTTTTGTAGGCACCTGGACTATAACAGTCTACGAGAAGTGAACAGTGGCTCTCTGTATGGTCTGGAGTCTCTGCTGCAGCTCTACCTCGCCAACAATTCCATCTCAAACTTTAACCCTGAGGGTTGGGGCTTTTGTGAGAGACTTCGAGAACTGTGAGACATCACTTTTCCTTCTCTTCTCATCCTTACAGATCCAGGATTTACTGTTTTGCTGATATAAGATCCAGTCATGATGATTGTTAACACATTAGAGCGCACTTATGTCAGTGAGATAGGAAGATTCGTAAGAATTGAATAAAAAGTACACACAAAGCTGCTGTAAAAATTGCAGAAATCTTCCAAAATAATCTTCAAATATGTGGAGTTGAAGCAATATTGGAAAATGCTTTTGACCACAGTGCCAAAACACACATGCAGCCAATCAGCAGTAAGGGGCGTGTCTAGTAATGATAATGGAGATTAGGGCTGTTTCTCAATACCAAGGATTTACATTCTTGTGGCGGCCAGTCTTGCCAAGTTACCTCAGAAGAATGAACTTGGAAGACCATGAGAACACAGAGAGCATCCTGTGATAAGTGACAGACTGAGATCTTCCAATTGGTCACATGACCAAAATAATTTAAACATTACATAAACATTCATAAACTGATTATTTTTTTAATTACCTTTTCAATATATATAGCATGTACACCTTGAGCGCATTTCCGCAACCACAAAGCAGAATAGGATAGTTATGACATTAAAGAGGGATCAGAGACGCTCTATTTGAGTCTTTTAAACGTACTTTGCACAATACAAATAAAAACAGATTTTAATATGAATTTTCACACATAAACACTTTTTCATGCGTTTATGACGTTATTAAAATGTTCAAGTGAATATTTAATTTCTCTGTCTCATTTTGAAAAACATTTGGGATAAAGTAGTAATATCTCTGAATAGAGAGATATAAAATGCTGCCTCAATTTAAATGCAATGACTTGTCTGCTTGTTAAGTGTGACGTCACTCGAAGCCGCAGAATCAAACTGTATGGGGAGACTTATACAGAGATCAAATGGTAATAGTAAACATGTACAAAGTAATGTATTACTTTCGAAAATCACAAACAAATATTTTTCTCAGTTCAAATGAGTTGCGACTTGGACAAGGATACAATATTCCATACGTCACCTATACGGCACGACTTAACAAACAGATTTGAGCGAGTGCTGTGCTCAAGTCTGTATTGATCAAAAGCAAATGCGGGTTTTTCCATGCATCTTCTGGTCTGGAGTATTGGATTTTAACACAAGGATGCTAAATCGCTTAAGAATATAGAGAATCAGCCTATGAAAAACGGGCAAAGTCCTGTTGGGTTATGGGCATGTTTTTCATTGAGTATGCTTTTACAACAGTGCTTTCAAATATCAACATCATTTGGTGAAATTTGCTTAGTGCACCTTTAATCGCAGCCAATCTTTACATTAGAAGGAAGCGTTTGTTCACAGTACCACCTACTGCACTAAACACACAGCACTCCTCGTCTTGCTGTAGATAAGCTCTGTTTATCCCCTAATGATGCGCTGGATTGCCAGCGCTTAGGAGCTCATCCCCATTTTCACTCACCTCTCCTGATGCTAGTTAAAGAAAACCGCGTAATCCACCATATATATGTCTGCCAAGTGTTACACAAAGATCGGTACCTGAGTGAAATTGATCTTACCTGGGTGAATGTGTGTGTAAACACTGAGCTGTCCTGTCAAGCATATTATGTCCGTCTAGTACGTGATATCTTTCTGTAGCTAACACTCTTTTCCGTTGTGGGGCAACAAGGCTTTATTGGTAGGAGATGTTGTCTGTAGTATCAGCTGAGTGGTCAGCCGTGATTTTGCAGATTGGTTTATGATGCAGCTGTTATTGCATTTTGGGTATAATAGACTGATGTGAAAATCTGTAGTTCTGTAATAAACTAAATGCAGGATTCTGAAAAGATTGCTAAAGTGCCAAAGCTAATCATGTGTTGCAGAATATAAAAACACAAATGTTTAACATAATTATTGTTTTTCCTTTTCTTTTGTAGGAATTTGTCTTATAATAACCTGACGAAGTTGTCTGAGGGTAGTTTTGCCAAGCTGGTAAACCTGATTTCCCTGCGTTTGGGACACAATTCCATCAGTCACATCACTGAAGGAGCATTCAGAGGCCTTAGCTCCCTGCGCACACTGTAAGTACCCTTACCTTGTGTCAAAACGTTTTGGGTACTGTGCATTTGAAGAACACTTGGTGTCAGATCTGTGGCACAGTGGTCGATGAGTTCACTTGCCAGTGATTTACGCCACAGCTCTGTCACATGAGAGTAATGTAGCACATATAGGGAACCACATTCTTGTTCCATCTGCACTGATCACTTTAGTTTTCCACTTTACCTTGTAATTTAGATCAATCTGTATCTTTGATTAAAACATGTAAAATAAATATTAAACTAAAAATTCTTAAATGAAAAGAAATATTGCACAAAAATCATTAAAATAAAAGATAATAAATATTAAAAGAGACTGAAAAAATGGAGATGTCAGAATGGAATTCAGCAACACCCCCTTGAAATCAATAGGTCTACTGTGTTCTCCACGGTGTTCTTTCTTCTTGAAAAGGGTAAACAAAACCTGTCTTAGTGTCTAAATTAATTAAAAGTGTTGCAGAAGTGTTGATTGATTTAGTGGCATTCGCTTAAGTAGCCGTTAGCCATTAAGTGCGATGAGAAGAGCGTTCTGGTTTCTTTTCCTCATTGTTTCCTTGTTGGTTCCCACCAAAGTTAGATGCACATGTGCACCCTGCACAAGGCCTCCAAGAAGAGGCAACCTCTTTTTTTCTTGCATAGTGAAAGGCATTATGGGAGACCAACTCTCCAGCCTGACTTCTATAGACACACAAAGTCTCAACTGCCACCTCATGCCCCCCTTCCTCTTTGAGTGTCTCAAAAGAAAAAAAGAGAGAAGAATTCTGCCTTTACTTTCTTAGATGAAGGCTTTTTCACAGTAGGGTGACAAGCCAAGGCACAACACGGTCCTCAGCGCTGCTGGCAGTGGGCAGAGAGTAGGGGGAAGGGGCATGTGAAGTGTGATTGTGAGGGCCTCTGTTTTCTTTTGTTCTGTCTTTCCTTTATGTCTTACTTGCTTGATTTCCTTTATATCATTCCCTTTTTCTCTCTCTCTCTCCCTCACTTGCTCTCCTCTGAGCCAGTTCTAATCTAATCATGGCCTTAGTGCCTTTCTGGGGCTCCTGTTGAAAAGAAGCAGGGGAGGTTTTAATTGGTGCGCGCTTCTGGCCGGGTGAGAGAAGCCCTGGTCGGGTGTGAAAGACCAGAACCGGACCGTCTTTGAGCCGAGGGGGTGGGGGTCAGGCCTGGGGGCCTCTGGCCCTACTGTCATTAACAAGCCGGGGTCCATTCACAAGCAGCCAGCCAGAAAGAATAGGAAATTGGCAGCCGAAGCCAGGCATGGAGGGAAAGTAACAGAAAGAGCCAAGGGGCGGTTGTCGACCAGGAGAGAACGGGTACAACCCCTCCACCCTCTTACCTCAAAAAGACTTTTATTGTTGTTCAGAGACAACAGTTTTCTTTAACAGCATAGAAACAAAGGACTCCTTTAGAAATGCAATCATGTGGTAATACCATGGTACTTTTAGGATGATTGCTATTTATCTAACCCTAGGTACATATGGCATACACATACCCTACAACAGTAAATGTGACTGAGCATCTAAAGCTAATAGTGTACCCATTGATGTGATTTTATATTTTAAGTATGGATTTACCCAGCAGACAAACAATGTCATAAGACGTTAATATTACGTTAGATGTAAGTTGCTAGCATCTAAGGACAATGTTATTTTGACATCCAATAAGGACGGAAAATGATGTTAATGTTTGGTTGATTTTAGGTTGTGTTGGAAAGCGACCAAAATCTAACATCATATTGATGTCTAATACTGACATTTATTCGTCAGGTATGGCAATCAAAATGCAACGTCTTATAGATGTCATAGTGATGTCATAGTGTCATGTCACACAACGTCAAGCTGTAACATAAATAGACATTGATATTTGTTTTTTTTAGGTTGTGTTGAAAAGCAAACAAAATGCAAAATCTGTCCAACTTGGACATCAGCCAGACGTTGGGTTTTGACGTTAACCTGATTTTCATCTCCAAACAAAATGCAATGTCCTTATGATGTTGTTGCACAATGTCAGTCTGATGTCATATTGATGTCCTGTGCCTGTTGGTTAGTCAAACACCTGTTGTTACACGGTGTCATTCTTGTCTAGTGTCTTTTTCCAGAAGTTTTTATGCTTTTTCCCTAGTGTAATATTAAGTAGAGATACCATCAGTGTGGTAAGCCGAGGCACATTAACCTTTCCACCTTATATTAACATGCATTCAAATCACTTCTGACTGGTTTTCACAGACTGGTTTTTCGTCATGCTCTACATCGCTTTGACAGGAGGGTCCAGTGAAAGACACTGGCACTATTGAAGGAACAAACTCATGTAATGCAGCTTATGAGCAAGCAGGAAAGCAAGTCAGTGTACTTTGGAGTTTAAGAGACAAGTTTCACTTTAATATGTTAAAATGCATGATTATTCAAATTAGAGGAACAGACAAGCCACATCCGTTAAGTTGACACATTTGCGCCAGAGAATCTGTCCAGCGTAGGCAGGCTCCTGGCAGTGTCCGGGCTTGATCATGGTTTTTCTGGAGTTTTATTATACGATGTGCCCATATGCCTTTACCTGCCAGCACGGTTGGTGCGGTGACGGATTCAAACGGCTGTCAGAGTGAGTGTATTTGTGCAACTGTGAGAAAGAGTTGTGTTTGTGCAAGCCGCATTCAGCTGTCATACATTATTCATGCATTTGCCTGTGCGTTGCTGCACTCCTTAATGTCACAATTCACAAAGAAAAGAATGTGCCCGGTTGGCAGAGAGAAAGAGAGGGAGAGAAACCAAGAAAAAGAGTGTTGTTGGACTTTCTTGTTTTCAACCAGGTGTCCAAGGACAGCTTCTGTGCCACCGACAGATGTTCGTCAGTGGCACATGAACAAGGAACTGACTCTACTACTCTACCTTTAAAATATTACTTGCCAATCCAACTTAAAAATTAATTATTCCATTATGTAACCTCTGAAGTTTGTCTGAAAACATGACACTTTTTTAATATTAAAGTAAGGATGAGTAAATAATTTATTTAAAGCAAATGACAGATACTTTAAAAAGTATTTTACATTGCATTCTAGCTGTATTTTACTATAAATCTTTTAGTTTTTTTCAGTTTATTAACATATATCCTAAAGTTACCCCCCCATCCCCCTAACCACCCCTTTCAGTTCAAGTCTACCTCAGAATAATATTCAAATAATCTGACAATCTGTGAGAAGACCCATGATTTTATAGTTTACAAAGTTAAAATGCAAAGAAATAAACAGTAATTTAACACCCTGCTACATATGTTATTTGTAATTTCATATACACGTAACCACATTTTGTTCTATCATTATAAAGATAATAATTTTGATATAAACAATATAAATGAGGAGGACTTCTCTTCTCCTCAATCCTGGTTCTGAATGTCCAGACAGTGGAGCAGTGCAGCAGGTCTCTTGCCCTATCTATTTCAACCATTAGCCCTGTCGGTAATCTGTAGAATTTTAAACATAGGCGAACACAGCAGCACTAAGATAGGCGATGTGTCTGAATGGTAACAAACTCAACCGATAAAAGACAAAGTCCGCTATTCTCTAATTCTCATCCAGCTCTCCCAACAAAAATGCTTGCTGCAAACCAACAGCTTTGCTGTATCAGCCCGGACAGCATCATGGGGAAAACATGGAACAAATCCTGTGGATCATGGAAACAAACACAAACAACCATGCCGTGCATGGACGGGGTCTCACCCAGTCATTGGGTCTCACAGTTTGGCAGGTGTGCCTTGCCTTCGGAAAGCACATGCTCCTATGAATAATTAAGAAGCGAGGTCTTCTTATGGGATAAGAAAACTCCACTATTAATAATAATGCGAAACTGACGTGTCATTACTCCACTAGGAGATGCGCGCTTCATCAAAGATTTTTTTCTGCCTCAAAAATTTATTTAATCCTGGAAGATGAAATTAGCTGACAAAAGCTTAAAATTATCCAGTTTTCTCCACAATTAAAGCTGACAGGTGCTAACATTGTCTTAACTGATGCTCAACACAACAAATCTGTTAAAATCTCAAAAAAAAGTATTCCAGGGTGTCTTGAACTTTTAACTATAAGTAACCAAGATGGCTTAGGGGTTCTTTCTTTCTTTCTTTCTTTCTTTCTTTCTTTCTTTCTTTCTTTCCTTCTTTCTTTTGTAATCCCTTTCTTTTTGTCTCTGCAGGGAGTTGGACCACAATGACATCTCTGGAACTATTGAGGACACCAGTGGGGCCTTCACTGGCCTCGAAAACCTCAACAAGCTGTGAGTGTCACACTCTTTCTTTTATGTTGATCATAGACTTTCTCTTTATTAAAGACATTTTTACAACAGTTGTGACTGTGACGAGTCCAAGTTCCAAGTCCAAAATCAGGCCATGTTTTTATTCTTATTTATTTAATTTTTTTGCATCAGTCTTAAGATTATCGAGTTAATGTGAAAGACAAAAAGTCAAAGTCTGCGTTATTGTCAATTCAACCACATGTACTGGGCATACATAGAATTGAAATTGTGTGACTCTCAGACCCTTGGTTTATAGCATATAATACTAAAACAAATAATAGAATTTTAAAAAGAATTGACTATAAATACAATTCAAGTAAAAAAAACAAAACAAATAAAGACCTCAAATAACCTCAAGCTCATTCTTCATAAAGTGCAGATTTGGGAAGGCAAGTCTTACTTTTCATCATTGGTGATAGGAGATCACTCTTGTGATGGAATCAGTGAGGGCGTAAAATGGGAAGTAGGCAAGAGAGGAGGGGTGCATTCACACAGATCAAACGCCCTGCTCTGTGCCTTTTGTTACGGGAGCAGAGGTTCGCAAATCTGCGGAAGCCGCCTGTTGATGCACATCCCTGGCCAAATCCTGCCAACCATCATGCCAGAAAGCCTATTCACCCATCCTGGGAATATGTGAGAGAGAATTAGAGAGTGATGTGCGCAACATCAAAGTCTTGCACAGTTTTGTTTGCACAAAATGATGACATTGAGCGTTCCTACAGTTTGAGTGTGGCTTAAGCTTTAATATATATATAAAAAAAATGTAATTAATGATTGGATTTGGCTGTCATTTGTGCGCCATTTTTTCACGGCACTTGTTCATGGTGTCCATAAATCCAGTTAGCATCTATTTCGGTGGCTTCTATTTGGAAGCACGGTTTCGTCAGGTGAACTGTACAGCTTTTTTGAATGAATTATGGGGTTGGTATGGGAGCCCAGCGCTGAAGGCTGCCAGAGGCTGACCTGCAGATGGGTGGCTGCTTAAGAGATGGTGGGGGGGCTGAAGGAGATGAGTTGAGGTGATGTCTTAGTTTTTCAGGAGATGACAGATGCCGTTGCACACACATAGACCATCAGTCTGCTGACAGACACGGCTGGGCCAGTGCATTCTGGGCTGATTCCCATAAGCACATATTGAATAAACTTGATGACTCATGAAAGTTATAAAGTTACTACAACTGCTGCTGAATTAATGTTGGATTCATTTTACATTTATTCATTTAGAAATTTGATGCTTGGAGAACATGCAAATTAACTATGACATACAAGTTATTGTTTGAATTTTACATATATAAATGTCATATTTATTTATAACATGTATTGCAATAATGGCTGTGTGCATTAGGGATGCTCTGATCAGGATTTATAAAACCGATACTGAGTACGGATTCCTTGTCATTGTGATTAGCCGATACAAAGCACCGATTCTAATGCTTCAAGCTTTTTATAACTTTGCCATTGCGTAAGCACATTTTCCCTCAGCTTGAAATTTCACCTTATTTAAGAGAACAAATTAAAGATGTTGCATACATGTAATGTTTGGAAGCAACTGTATAAACAGTAATAGTTAAATAGGCATGGGACAATAACCGTTTTCAAGGTATACCGCGGTTTGGAAAAGTCAAGGTTTTAAAACCATAAAAATTTTCAGAGAATTTCACAGTGATCTGTGTTGTAATACTGGCGTCGACAAACTTGGTTGGTAAAAAATTGGCCCAACCCTAATCCAAAGACGCCATTTTAAATTGTAAAGAAATCTGTGTTTTTGAAACAAATGAAGATAGCAGAAGTCAATGATTCATTTGAATTATTTAGCCTGATGCGTTTAGCTACTGCTCCAAAATATTATTTAAATATCCAGATATTTAAAAACAGCGTATTATAGAGCAGTGATCACAATACCGTGAAATCATGATATTTTACCTTAGTTTATCATACCGTCAGAATCTTATACCGGCCCATGCCTATACATAAAACAGACAAGAAAAATTGTAAGAAAAATTAACTCCAATGCAATTTGGAAACATTGCTCAAGTGTTGTAGCGCTGTGAATGTATAACCCAGATTGTAAACTTGTAAACAAACACTTGTGATTGGTTTATGAGATCGGCCAGATCAGCGAGTACGGTTCGAGTCTTGAAATGTGATTATTGGCCGATGCCTATTTTCGGCCAATCGATCAGAGCATCCCTTGTGTGCATACATTTATGTAAAAGTGGTCATTTTTGCAGTATTTCTAAAAATATCTCATATATTTAATATATGTAAAATCCAAATATGAATATAAAATTTTACATGTCCACAAATGTAATTACTATATATTGCCATATATTAGATTTCTATGTGGGAAATGGATGTCATATATTATCATACAAGTTTATTTAATTTTATTTTGCATAAAACAGGGAGTCCTCTGTGTCTTAAAGTTTTAAAATGCCTAAAAATTTTAAAAACTGAAAGTTAGGTCTTAAATCATTTTAAACAGGTCTTTATTTTCCTCTGTCTATGTAAAGTTACCCAATTGGGCTGATCAATCACCAATAATCCACTTTACAAAGGTTAAATATTTAACTCTATTTACCTCAAATAGAGTGTAATTATTTTTCTTACAATAACTTTTGTTTAAAGGCTCTATGTATTTAAGCCAAGCGGTTGCGCATAATTGTAGTTTATTATAGATGTTTTTTTACTTGTAAATATTTTAACTAGATTTTGTTTGTTTTGACGCATTTAAAATGTGGAATTACAATTCAATTTTAATTTAAGAATTAAAATTAGAATTGTTTTAATGAGGCAAGTTCAAATCTTTTTCTTTGGACCAACCATGCCGTTAGGAAAAATCCTTAGCATTCAGCCTGTATAAGTCTGAAATTTGCTTCACAGTGCTCTTAAAAAATCTTAAATTTAACTTTGTGAAACCTGCAGAAACCCTCATACAAGTAAATATAAAATAGAATAGTGTTATTGCTACTGGATCAGATTAAAACTAGAATAGACAACAGAAAAAGGGAATTTTAGTTTTTTTATATATATGTTTTATTTTAATGTATATCTTTATTCATATTTATAATTCGTATTACTTTTATGAAATTATAAAATGCTCAGTATCAGCTGTAATTTTATCTTATATGATATCTTATTTATCCCATCATGCAGCAGCCATGCACACACCTCATTACCGTGGGTCAAAATCCACCAATATTCCCTGTTTGGAAGAACAGCATTGTCAGGTGTCAGATCTGGTTCTTATGAAGGGGTTCAGGATATCAGGGTGATGACTGAGCACTCTTGAGCCCTCTTGGGCAGGAAGTGCACTAATCAGGTTCTTATTTCCCTTTAAAATGGGAATCATGTCCTCCAAGGAGCTTGTTCTCCTTTGCCATCCTGTGGTGCGCAGGGCTGCTTTTGAAGCGCAAGCAGGATTATCTTCTACAAGGGGTTTGAACCGCAGTCTTGACAAGGCCACTTTTATTACCTTACAAGCCGTGTGTCGTCCTGCAAGCACTGAAGCTCCTTTTCATGTGACCTGGAGCTCCAGGCTCCACCCTGTCATCGCTATTAAATTCTAATAAAGATAAAAGTGCGCTTTGAAGAGCTGCGGCGGGCCCCGATTCCTCACCCTCCTTCCTAATCTCTACACAGTTCGGATTTCCAATCCCACAATCCCCCTTTCTTATCAGATTCAGTCCAACTAATTGTGCACTCTCCATCTCTCTCTCTCTCTCTCTCTCTCTCTCTCTTCCCTCTGGTTTTTCTCACCCTGGGTGTCTGGAAACGGCAGAACTCTGTTTGGAAACAAGATCAAGTCGGTGGCCAAGAAAGCCTTCTCTGGCCTGGAGGCTCTGGAGCACCTGTGAGTATCCCACAATGCCTTTCGGCCCCTACAGCAGCGGCTGCCAAAAGTAAATGCTTAAGAGGGCTGCTAGCAATTTAATAGTGTCTTTGTAAAAGGAGAGGACGGGGTGGTTTGCAAGGCCAGCTGCTCTTGTCTCGCTTTTACTCGCGCAGGAACACAGTTATTGAGCATATGGTCCGTTTCATACAAGAAATGGAATTTTTTTAGGACTTCTCTAGACATTAAATGATAAAATAATAATGATCAAATGTACAGTTTTCTTTTAACGATTGCGATTTAACGAATAATATGGAACCAATAACATTTTAAATTGTACATTTTTTTTGTCAGTATAAATAAATAATAATGATATAAATTTAATGTACTCATATTTTTATGCATGTATACTTTTATATAAAAGTTTAGAGGCAGTATGAATTATAGGGATGCACCGATCCTGATACTTGGATCAGATATCGGTTCGATACTGCATATTTTTGCTAGTTCGGTATTGGCCAGCTGGTCCAACCGAACCAAATCCGATGTTGCGCATGCGCTATATTCTGTGTAATTTATAAGCCAACAAAAGCCATGAAGGTAGCCTATTATAAGGCACTAGAAAGTTGTCATGTAGGCCTACTATATCCTAAATGTCCTGAAGCCATTCTATAGTTAATTGTGAAGTACAGATGAATGTTAAAGTGCTTAAATTCATGTTCAATTCAGAGCTTCCCGTCACTACGCCTGTCAATCCTTCTCCATTCATTCACAATTTAAACTGTGTGTCGCGTTTATGGCAACACAAAAATTTTTCCAAAACTATTTGTTTCTGTTAATATAAATAATCAGTAGAGAAATGCATTTAGTTTTGCATTAAATAACTTCATTTTAAACCTGCAAAAAGGATTTCACTCCTGTTTCTAAATCATGTTGCACTGTGTCTGTTATATCCGGAGTCCCCATTCGCAACACTGGAGTAGAGACGGTTAGTACCTGCTTTTCACATACAATGTAGTCCTAAATTAAATTTTATATTAGAAAAAGCTCAATAATACATTGGACAGATGCTCAACGCACTGATTTCTTTCCTTTTGGAAGTGTCTGCAGATGCAGGAGGGCTACGTGTTGTGTTTCAGTGATGTATCAAGCGATTCATTCATGCATTGGCTTGAAAGTTTGTAAAGCATGGCTTATACTGATTGAAGTAGTTGACAAAATTATTATAAGTGAAACTGACGGGTGCAATATGGATTGCCATTAAAAGAAAAAATAATTTAGCCTAATACAGGCTACTCTGAAACCGAATATTTTACTGTAATTTTATTTATATTAATATTTTATTTACCAGACTAGTTAATGGCACAGTATCGGGATCGGATCAGTATCGATCGATTCTCAGAATTTTGGTATCGGGATCTGATTGGTTCCAATAAAATGGTATTGGTGCAGTCCTAATTATTTATATTTTTTGCTAAAGAAATCAAATCTTAATAGGCAAAAATGGATGAAACAAATCAAAAGTGAAGAGTAAAAACATTTACAAATCCTTAAAATTGTTTTTATTTCTTCATAAATTGTTTTCATTTGAACTTTCTCTTCAAAAAAAAAAAAATTAAACACAATTTACAAGATAAATATTAACAGTAACCAATGCTATTGAATTATGGGCCATATGGTCAGTTTCATAAAAAAGATAATTGACTTTAAGCACTTCTCCAGACTCTGTAACTCTGTCCGATATTTGGATCTTTCCACCTTGTTGGAAGTTATCCTGTATAAAAATAGGCTACGATATCTGCACACTAGAGCACTGCAGCTGTATGTGAACATTCGCATGTCCTCTTTCTGTCACGCCTGAGGGCCCTGTTTAATCTCTCAACAGGAATTTAGGGGAAAATGCCATCCGCTCCATCCAACCCGAGGCATTCAGCAAGATGAAGAACCTGCGCTACCTGTGAGTCTCAGTAAACCTTTTCACATGCACACACTCGTCATCCGATCATGTTTCTTGACATGACAAATGTTTTGGCTGATAGTAGAAGTTATTGTGAATTATTATACATGTTTAGACATGAAGTAATTTATTTACTTATTCATTTCAATATTTTTTTATTTTTTTGTTATTATTGTTATTTGTTTTTTTATTATGCATTTGTTTTTGTTCAAATTAAATTATTTTAGAAACATTTTGAACAGTAATCAGTGTTACTTATTAATAAAATAATATATTCTTAAATATATTAAATTTATATATTTCTTACTAAAATGCTTGCCAACATTTTCCATAAAAATGACATTGTGCTAATATTAAATTATTGTAAAAACAGAGCATTATACATCCACAGTGTATGTTAAAGTCATGTTTGTCATTTTCCTGTGTGAATAAAATGTGCACATTAATCAAATAATTTGCATTAGGTTGAAGTTTTTACTGATTTCTCTGCAGTCATATTCAGAGCGACAGTTTTCTGTGTGACTGTCAGCTGCACTGGTTTCCAGATTGGCTCCTCACTCGAGGGCTGAACCCTGGTGTTCAGGCCACATGTGCCCATCCAGAGAGCCTAAAGGGCACCAGCATCTACCAAGCCCCACCACAGAGCTTTGTTTGTGGTATGTAGAGTTATATATCACACATGCATATTTCATAACCAACAAGTCACAATAAGGAAGAACTAACTTTATTTTCACTGCAGGTGAAAACAAAATGTATTAATACACTTCCTCAGTTGATACGTTTTTTTTCTATTACAAGATTTATAAAATGGTCGAATATGCAAACATTATGCAATATTTAATTAAATGTGCTAATTTAAGTACTTTTAAGTACATCAAAATGCCTGCTTCAACTTACTAATTTCAATTTTTGACATAGAGCCAAAGGTTTTTGCAGAGGGTTTTTTGAAATGTCTTTTTATCAACCTATAATTTCAAAAACGGATAGCTTCTCTCAATTATAGCAAACAGCCAGAAAATAAATAATTTCCTAAAGTTTTTTTTTTTTTTTTTGTAAAAACTGCTGTAAATATTCAGCCAAATTATGTACAAACAAATCCTTGTTTAAAAGCCTCCAGAACATAGATGTGAATAAAAGTAGATGGTTCTAAGAGTTTTATTGATAAACTTTGGGTAGAAACCTTCCTAGATGTGATATTATGGCAAATTAATGGTTATGGCTCAATGTTGATTTAAAGTTGTTCATTTAAGTCGATATTTAAGTTAAATAAGTTCACTTAGAATTGACTTAATACAGAACCAAAGGTTTCTCCAGAGGGGTTTTTGGCAATCTCTTGTTATCAATTCTTAATTTTGAAAATGTGGTGAACATACAGAAAATAAATAATCGCCACATAGTTTTTATAATCAGCCAAATGATGTACAAACAAAACAGTCTTTAATATAGATGTTTCATTGTAAGTTCAGCAGCTAAAGGCATGTGAACATAAGCTGCAATCTCATTGGTCTGTTAAATTTTAATGCAGTGTGTCAAACCAGCTTGTTTATTGGTGCGAACACCTACATTAGCTTATTTTTGTTTAGTGCACTATCATCGTCAAAATTGTTCATGCAAAAACTGGTAACACTTTATAATAACTACACACTATGAAGCATTTATTGAGCATTAGCATATGGTGAATACATTATCTGTTAAGCATTAACTCTACATTAATAAACGTTAGTAAGCAGTTTATAACTGCAGCTATAAATGCTCTTTTCTTGACTTAGAACCACATTTATACTTTGCCTAATAATTGTATTGTCATACTGTGTGAATGATTTACTTTTCAATACTAAATGACGTATTGCATTATTTACAAACCATTTGTATTTAAGAATAGTTGGTGGTTTTTAAGATCTTTCAGAATGAGTGAGTAAATGATGAATAAACTATTAAAATCAATGTTTATACATATTATTGTTCAGGCATATACTAATGGTTACTATGTATGTTAATAAATGCTTTATTAACTCAACTTCATGCTGTTTTGTGACCTAATCTAAAGTGAGGACTATTTATACTTTATAAATCCCTTATAAATGATGATTAAATGCTCGTATGCTTTATAATCTTTGCAATCTTATCTAAAAAGTAAAATTACTGTAAAGTTTAAACATTGCTGGATGACAGGAGTGTCAAAATACAACATAAAATTGTATAAAACAACAACAATATAACAATTTAACTATATAATAGGATGTGATGTTTGTAATTTTATTTTAGATTAGGTTGCAAAGATTTATTGTTCAATTGAAGTACAGTTTCATTTGTGTATCTTCAAACGAATGGGAATGAATAAAGTCGTTTATTTTCTTTTTTCCTGTTTAGAATAAAACTGAGCCTTTGTCATTTATAAGGGATTTATAAAGCATAAATAGTCTTCACTTTAGATGAAAGAAGATAAAAGTGCAGTTATTAAGCACATTATAAATGTGCTTCTAATTCAAGAATAGAGCATTTGTAGCTTTAGTTATAAACTGTTTTATAATGTTTATTAATGTAGAGTTAATGCTTAACACATGAATTCACTATTTGCTGATGCTTAATAAATGGTTTATAGTGTGTAGTTATTAAAAAGTGCTAACCAAAAAACTTTATCAAAAAATAAATGGTGATGAATTATGAATCTACAGTGACTCACTTTGAAGTGTGTTAAATGTCTCTCCATGTACTATTCTCCAGATGACCTTCCCAAACCCCAGATCACGGTTCACCCAGTCACCACAGCTGCAGTATTGGGTAAAGACGTGCGTCTGACCTGTACTGCTGCCAGCAGCAGCAGTTCTCCCATGACCTTCACCTGGCTAAAGGACCAGGAGACACTCCGCCAGGCTGAGGTGGAGAACTTTGCCCATGTGCGGGCCAGCGATGGAGGAGTGATGGAGTACACTACGATCCTTCACCTTCGACACGTCACCTTCAACCATGAGGGACGATACCAGTGCATCATCAGCAATCACTTCGGCTCCTCTTACTCCAACAAGGCCCGCGTCACTGTAAACGGTACTTTAGACCAAACTGACTATGTGTACTGCTCCATTTATATTTGTTTGTTTTACACTTTATTGTTCCCAATGGGGAAATCTGTCTTGGGCGCTAGGCCCATACTTGCATACACTAAACAAAAACAGACAACACAAATCAACACAAACATTCAATCATCAACACAAATATTACATATTTAAAAGTCTGATGTAGGTAAAAAGATTTCTTAAAATCATTGACTAGAAGGCGGTAACCCAAACTCACAAATTAAGCTATACGAGGGGTCAGCTACTGGTTTAATAGCTTTGTCAAGAACTGATTGCTCAGAGAGATTGTAACGATTGATATTCCTTTTTCGCTATGATTCTCATGGCCTTCTGAAAAGTGACAGTTTGCATCAAGCAGAAAACCGAAATTAGTAATTTAATTACATTTTAAATGCCAGTGGATCCTTAATTTATTATTTATTAACATTCAGATTAAGATTTATTTAATATTCATGATTAAACAAGGTATATATAAATTACAATAATTATTTTATTTATTAAATATTTATTATTTATTTAGTTATTTAAAAATATTCAAAATATTTTACAAGATTAAAAGATTGGTTGGCCCAAGTGTAGTTCTGGACCAACCAATGCACTATTATTGCATAACAGTTTTGTTTACTTTTAGCTGCATGAATATTGCATTATAGTTATAGTAACTGTATTTGTTGCTGAAAATATATTTATATAATTCAAACAATATTTATTTATAATCAATTGGTGTAATATGTATATTATGTATATTTTTTATTATATTTAAAATCCACAAGTGTCCAGCTTTTTATTTTTGTGTTTAAATTAAAAAATGTTATAAAGTTTTAGTTTGTCAGTTGTTATTTTAGTTTTAGTGAACTTTTAGTTTTAAGCTAAAACTAGTTAAAATAGCTTAAAGTTTATGGTTAAAAAAAATCAAATCAATTATCCAATCATTCAAAACTTCTTTGTTGGTGATTCTCGCTCTCCACGGGATGCTCAAAAGTTTTCTCCAGCACCACAACTCGATGACGTCGATTTTTCTTCTGTCTGTCTTCTTTATCGTCCAGCTATGGCGGAGGACAGTTGCGCTGACTAGCCTTGCTTTAGTTGCAGTCCTGATATCTTTACTGTTACAGTAAAAAATACTGTAACATATAATTTAAATATATTTACGCTAATGTATAAATGTTAATATTATTGACTTGTTAAATTTATATGTATATATTTCAAATAAACATTCTGTTTCATGTATACACAGAAATATAACAAAAAAGAAGTTAGTTTTATCAGTTTTCACTATGTAAAATATTGCTTTATACAGAAATGTGAATTAATAACATTTTTTTTACTATTAAATAATTTCATAGCCATTTTTTTGTTATCATCACACCAGTTGCACAAAATTCCCATCATGCAACAGTTGCTCATCATTTGTCTTTTTGCACAAACGTTGCATGAACTGTTTCAGCAAAATTCAGCTTGATCGTACTACAGCTTGGGCCTTTTTTATCCTCTCCGCTGTTTGCAGTGCACTTGGATTACATGCCTTGTCAGTTCTAGCAACAGATGCAAATTGACGGTCTTGAGGCATTTTTGGTCTCATGCCCGTCCAAATCAAGCTATTTCCCATCGCCAATTGTGTTAGTCACAGCTATGAATGCTGGGCTTGTTTAGTGCTGATGTAGCAACATTACGAAAATAGTCCTTGCTAAGGCTAATTTTCCTCTGCCTCTTTATGCACACAGTCCTGCCTTCGTTCGTCAAGACCCCACGTGACATCACCATCCGCACAGGCACCAAAGCGCGGTTGGAGTGTGCGGCCGAAGGGCATCCGACTCCACAGGTGGCATGGCAGAAAGATGGCGGAACAGACTTCCCTGCTGCCCGAGAGCGGCGCATGCGTGTGATGCCTGATGATGATGTGTTCTTTATCATGGATGTGAAGCCAGAGGATATGGGTGTTTACAGCTGCACAGCGAAAAACACAGCAGGCATGATCTCCGCCAACGTCACCTTAACAGTGCTAGGTAAGCTTAGCGTTTATAGAGCTTCTTGATCATGATTAGTGTTGCGTATAGTTAGTCAGTTATTAATTTACTTTTGAACTGAAATTGTCATTCATTTTACACTAAACATAAATTCAATGATTCCGATTCAGACTAATCAAACAAATCAGTTCAGAGAAGCAGATTATAGGGTAGTATCGATTCAAATAATTATTGAGTGCAGAGTTACCACACTTTTTGAAAGTACTTGAATTTCAGACATGGATTTAAGGCCTGGAAAGTCCTTAAACAGGGTGTCTATGTGGTTTTAAAGTCTTAATGTCCTAAATCTCAAAAGCTAAATAGTCTTACGCCCCATTCATACGGGGCTTTAGCGTCAATGCTTGACTGAAGGCGTGTCTGAAGTTGGGGCTGACGCGATCGTCATAGAAGCGACAGCCAATGAAATTCAGTCAGCAATAGGCCACTGTCTAGCTGGTGTATTTGCATACAGGATCTGATTGGCTGACGCTTCCGTTTGCGCTTGAAAAATCGAGCTGGTCCCAGCATCTGCAGTGAGCAACGCCTCTGAACTCTGATCACTGACGGTTCCACAACGCCTGACTACACCCATTTAAAGTAAATGGGAAGCGTTGATGCTGACGCCAAATGTGAATGGGGTGTTAAGCTAAAAAATCTTAAATTTACTGAAATGTTATGTTGTAGGTCTTAATTTTTTTTAACAGGTCTTAATTGTCCTTTGTTCATGTTTAGCTACCCAATCTGCCCATTAACACTCACACAATCACCAACAATTCATCTTCAGACTTTACAATCTTATTTAAAAATACCATTTAATTAGTTTCCTTACAGTAACATTTGCTTAAAAGTTCACCATTTAGTTACTGCTAAGGATACTGACCTGACCTATATTTTTATTATTAAATGAATATTATTGTAGAAGTAATTGGAGTATACTGAAAGTACTGAAGTGAATACTGAAGTAATTTTAGCTACGTTTTGCTCTATTCTTGGTAAGGGTTAGAGGGTTTGTGAATAAATATTTTTATTAATTTTTAAATATATTTAAACTAAATTATTATTATTGTATTATATTAATAAATGTAATAAATTTGAATCATTCTTGATAGAGCAGGAACTGAGATTCGAAAAAAAAATTATATCTTTAGCATAGACCCCTATATAAGTCAAAGATTTCCTTCATAATGGTCTTAAAAATGTCTTAAAGTCTTACATTTAACTTGGTGAAACATGCAGAAACCCTGTTAAAAGCAAACACAGGGCCTTTAAAGTGCTTGAATAAATTTGTTTTTGGTGTAATAATGCATATTGTTTTATTAAATATTTCGTAAATCACATTTGAATATTACTAGTTTTGAATTAAACTTCCAAGAATATTACTGTTTAAAATGGTCTAATGGAAGTTTTAATATCAAGATCAAGTGTAAATGTTAAATACAGTAAGGACTTTCATGGCACTACATATGCTGGGGGTGTGAATTACAATGTGGCTTTGTTGAAATTTATTGGTGTTTAACAAAGTAATAATAAAAATAAGCCATTTACAGTTTGAATCAGATAATTTAGCTATTAGTTACATAAGAAACTTACCCAACACTGATCATTGTTTTACTTTTTAACTTGTGTGTAATGTTGCTGTTTGAGCATGAAGATTTGAAAAGATATGATGCTCAAAAGGTCAATGTAAAGGAAGTTAAAGTATTTGGTTTTTAAAGTCTTAAATTAACATATTGTTGGGACTGCAGTAAGCTTTTTCCTTGGTTTGTAACCTCACAAACCCTAAAACTTGCATAAACTCCACCCCCCATGTGACATGTTTCTGGACAATAAGCGAATCAGAACAAACCAGGCAAGCAGACTACTCAATGTCAGTTGTGTATTTTTAAGCAAGGAACTTAGTCAACAGGCTGTCAACAAACCATTTTAAGGCAAACAAAAACCAAAAACTGTGGTGTGAAATATGAAAAAAAAACATAAGAATGTGATTTATTTTTTAAACCAATGAAGCATGAACACATTACAGTGCATCTCATAAACACCCATCGAGCCTCCAAAAGTAACTGATTTGACCCCCCTTTAAATATTGTGTAAATACATTATGTAAAGACTTTTTTGTTTTATTATGGAATTTGGATTTGTTTATTAGTCTGTGTGAATTTTGGTAACCCCTGCTTAGTTCTACGTAAAATCATTTTCCCCCTTCCCCATCTGAAGCAGCTGGGCTTTATGTGCAGGCTCGAAGGTGAAAGGTCAGGAATGAGGTCACAGGGGTAGAGGAAGTGCTGAGGGCTCACACAGTGGTATTTCTGTGCGTTTCTGAGTCATTGCTACAAATATTCATTTTAAGTGAGGATATGATATTTTGGTATAATCAGCTTAAACAGAGCCTTGTTTTTTAATTCTTCTTAAGAGTGATTCCTTCGAGAACTACTACTGTTTTTTCAGTATGTTTTAGATTTAGTGAAAAGAATTATATGAATCCAAACATTATTAAAGTAAAATAAAAATGAACTGGTTTAACATACTTTTGGGCAAAACATTGAGAAAGACATTATTTAGCTTAAACTAGACTGTTTTTGATTGACTGAAATAACTTGCTCACGAGTCATGTTTTATGAATCACACTGTGATACTGGTCAAACTGGAAGAGAACCAGTTCATAAGAATCATTTATTCAGAATTAAGACTACACTGCTCTCCCTGAACGTTTTTGATTCACTAAAAATAAACCGGCTCTTGAGAGTTATTCGTTCAGGACTTGGACTAAGAAGTTTTATTTTTCAATGTTGCACACCTTTAGATTTGTTTTTGTTTATAATGTACCTCCCCCTAAATTAGAAATGTCACCAAGCAAGCTGCAACAGCAAGTATCAACAATTTGCCACTGTAATGTAAACTAAACACTATTGCAAGACATAATTAAGGGATCATAAGGAAGGATTAGTTCACTTAAAGGGGACCTTTTATGCAAAAAGCATTTTTAAAAGGTGTTTAAACACGGTTGTGTGGCAACAGTCTGTGAATATAACCAGCTTCTAGAGGTAAAATATATTAATTTTATTGTTTATACTTAGGGCTGTGCGATTTATTGAAATCGAATCGCAATTGCAATTTGAAATGTTACGATTAGTTAATCGCATAAGGCTGCAATATAAAACCTATATGTATATATGTAAACAAAAATAACATCTTCAAAACCGATGCTATGCTTCAGAAAATGAAACATGCTAGACTTTCAGTAATGGTAATGGTTGTCATGAACTATGCCACATTACACGAGAAGAAACGATTGAATGTTGTGTAACGTTGTTCATTTGTTGTTTACGACTTCCCACGACACCTGGGATGTCAAGGAAATTGTGCCAAATTTGTGTGATCTGTCCGTGGCTTTATATCTAGCTAACCGAGTAAGCACACTTTCGATCTGCCCAATCAGAATTGCGCAACTGAACTACGCCCACAATTAAAAAAGAAAACAAACAGGAAAGTGCTGACAAGTGGGATTTTGGCATTTGCTACTTTAGAAGCCTTAATAGATTAATTAATATCAAAGAAAAACAGCATTTGTAGTATAGATATGTTTTGGTTTTAAAGTCACAGACACCAAATAAAAATAGGTCATTTTTAAGAGCTATCGCAGAATTATTGAGACGGCTTAAAGATTATTAGCTGTAGTTTGAATTAAATTAAAATTGGCTTAAAGCTTGAATTAATTTGTAAATCAAATCGCAATATCGGTCAAAAAAACAAAAACAAATCGTAATTACATTTTTTCCCCCCAAATTACAATTACAATCAAAGCCTAAAATGGACTGGTTCAAAGAGTTATAATACATTATTTGTGGGGTATTTGTGGAGCTGAAACTTCATGTACACTGTAGGGACATCTCATTTTACATCTTGTAAAAAATGGCATAGTAGGTCCCCTTTAAAGAGTAGTTACTTAAAGAGTAGTTCACTTCCAGATTGACAATTCTGTCATCATTACATTACCCTTAACTTGTTCCAAAACTTTACTTTTCTCTTTGGTTGTTAAAGATATTTTGAAACGTTGCTTCCATGGTAAAAAAAAAAAAAAAAAAAGGTAAACCATTCACTAGAAACGAAATACTTCTTATACAATTGCCATTTAAGTTATTGACTAACTATTCCCTGTGACGTTCTTGCAGAGACCCCTCATCTGGCACAGGAAATGGAGGATCGTAATGTGGTGGTAGGCGAAACTGTAGCACTGCAGTGCAAGGCTTTGGGCAGTCCACCACCTCGCATCACCTGGCTGAAGGGTGAAGAGCCTCTTCGAGCCAGCGACCGTCATCACTTCACTCCAGGAAATCAGCTGTTGGTGATCGGCAGCAGCACATTAGAGGATGCTGGACGCTACACTTGTGTGATGTCCAATACGCTCGGCACCGAACGTGCTCACTCGCAGCTCACTGTCTACCAGAGATTTGAGGAGTGCGCACCTTTTACCAGCCCCAGCACTGTTACTGTAGGCATCATCATCATCGCTGTGGTCACCAGTATTGTGGTGACTTCACTAGTTTGGGTGTGTATTATCTATCAGACCAGGAAGAAGAGCGAGGAGTGCAGTGTAAACACAGGTGCGTGTGTTCACACAGATTTTAAGATTTTGGTTTATGATGCTGGATGTTCATCTATAACTTTTACTCTTGCCAATTATAGATGAGACGATTGTCCCTCCTGATGTTCCCAGTTACCTGTCCTCTCAGGGCACTTTATCAGAAAGACAGGACGTGTGTATACGAGTGGAGTCCAATGGGGGATCTCAGCCCAATGGACGAATAGAAAGCAATGGTACAATTTTCCTGCTTTTCAGAGAAAATCTTTACTGTAGATTTAAAATGTGTTAAATATGGAGTAATAGCAGGAGAAAAACATTCCGTTTTAAAATTCAAATTATGATATAGTTAGTTTAAAATGTGGTGGAATGAGTAGTACCAAAATATTTAGAAAATTTACAAATATGTAAGGTAGATTCCATTTACAGTACAATACAATCACAGTGTGTGTGTGTGTGTGTGTGTGTGTGTGTGTGTGTGTGTGTGTGTGTGTGTGTGTGTGTGTGTGTGTGTGTGTGTGTGTATATACACATATATATGCGTGTATGTATGTATGTATATATATATATATATATGTGTGTGTGTGTGTGTGTGTGTGTGTGTGTGTGTGTACATGTATATATGTATGTATATGTGTGTGTGTGTGTGTGTGTGTATATCTACACATGCATGCATATATTTGATTTTTTTAATTTATATTTAGATATAAAACATATGTATATGGTACAAATTATATGTAAATGTATATATCTAAAGTTGTTTTGTATAGTCTTGTATCTATGTATGTGTGTTTAATGAGACTTATTTCAACTTTAAACTTTCTTAGTAAGTCGTAAACAAGTTTCTGTCTTTCAGGCTACGATGTGCCGGTCGTGTGCGCAGACTGCTTGGAAAACAGCACCAGCTACTCCAAACACTGTAACTACCTCCCTCACGATTTAGCGCCCCCTTCAGGCATGGAGTATCAGCAGACGCACCAAACATCAACTTTCACCAGCCTCAGCAATGAACCACACTGCAACGGCACTCCAAACGGCCTTAGAAAAGACAACCAAACACCCATCTTTCCCACCAACCACGACAGGGTGACAATATCACCCTCATCAAACCAGTACAGTGACCGAAATGGTGAGAAAAACGAATAAAATCAAGACTTGCTAAATCATACTTCCTGAAAAAAAACATATTTTAAGTGTCATTGAATGCACAATCTTTACCTGATTATGCTTAATAAGATGACAATACATGTGGTCATAGTAAAACCTTTTTTTAGTAATAGCTTAAACATAAACCGATGTCGCAGCTAGATTTTTGTTCCTTACAACAGTTTCGTTTAGCTTTTGAACGCATTAACCGGCCAGCCACAGAATTGTAAAACAAACTTGAGGAATCAATTAAAAATGTTTAGAATCTATGAGTAACGCGTTTCCTGCTGACATGTCACAGCATTCTTCTTGGGTTAGTAATGATTTATTTCTGGTGACAGCCGACATAAATAAAATACTCATTTTTGTTCCAGCTTTGACATGGATGTTACATTTTGACTTTACTACCAGTAGATCCATTGATTTGTCGATTTGTTTTTAGTCACATGAACTGTGCTGAGACCTGGGGGGCAAAAAATAATAGGCCATAATGACATCTAAACTGGGATCTCCTTCGAAACACAGCTTAAAACCAGTCATATTTCCGTCTGTTTCAAGCTACGAGTATTTGGATTACATATCAACAGAACAGAACAGATATTATAACAAATGTGGCAACCATTTTCAGTCATTTAAAACCGTCATGTCCCTGTCACGGCCCTGATTCTTACGTCTAACTTATCTTTTGGATATTCTTCAGTGATTTAATCAATAGTGATATAGCAGTATATGTGGTATAGCATGTAAGTGTCTGCTTTTATATTTGCTGTCAGTTTCTTTTACTTGGATTAAGATTTGCTTGTAGGAAAAATCTATTCATTCACTTCTGCTACTTATACTTTGACTGCATTTTAGTTTATGCTTTAATTGGGCTTGACCTGCAAATTAGAAACAGTGTAAAAAGCTTTCCTGCAATTTCTGAATATATATTCTATGCAAAATTATTTATAGATATCCAGTCCTTTGTAACTGTGGTCACAAAAAAACTAATATATATATATATATATATATATATATATATATATAAGTAACTCAAACAGTATTACATGTCATAACACTAAAAATGGAGGGGAAAAAAATCATAATAATAATCGGCGGTGTCGTAACCCAATGTGATGACCACTGGACCACAATGGCGCTGTTATGCGGGCGCGTTTGGAATAATAAACAAGTATTGCACTGTTATCTGCGAGACTCTTTTAACCACAGTATTACTTTCTATTGATGGCTTAATCTTTTTATCCACTTTTTAGATTTCTGATCAAGTTATGCCAGATTTATTAATGTAGTGAATCATCTGATTTTCATCGAGCAGGTGAAATATTCATTAATATTAATTATTCAAATTCTTATATTCACTAAGGTGCCGCTGTTTGGGGTCTAATGATAGTTACGTGTCATCATTAACCTGCAGGTTGCATTTTGCTCATGGGGCTGCGAGAAAATAAATAAAAAATAGCAGTGCTGCGGCAAAATAACACAATAGCCCCTTTCACATATACAGACATTTCCGAAAAATTACCAGCAACACCGGTAAATTAATTTCGGCTATTTTCCGTAAAGAGAAGTTGTAACATTTCTGGTAATTTCCTGGAATGCTTTGTGTAAATGTAGAAGGAAAGTTGCCAGAAAGAGTGCATCACATTTATTTACTGACGTGGACTTCTACTACGACCAATCAGACGAATTTACATCCACGATTTTAAGAAATTAAAATACTCTAAATCCTTCAGAGACATTAGGCTGCTGCTTGATAGTCATATAATGTTTATATGTTCCTTCTTAGTGCCAACTGTGAACAAAATGATTGATAAATGCCTATGATAAACCGCTGTGAGTTTACCTGCCAGCTCTGCATGTGCATGTAAAGAAGCGCTCCTGTGAATCAGATTTGAGTAGCCTACAACACCAATGGTCTTTCATTTTAAAAAAGTATATAACAAGCTGCAGTAGAAACTCAAATGCTTATTTGATATGCGAAAGTGTTCACAATTTGTAATGTCGTCAAATGAGTCAACAAAGCTGTTTTTAGCTGTGGTTAGCGCCTCTGCCTTTGGATAGTAACATTAATGGATTTTTTCCAAGTTATTTGTTCCATTCTGGAACAAAAGTAGCTACATGAATGCTAAAGTTTGAAATAAAAGTGAAACCATCAAGAAAAAGCGCAAACGTTTAGAGCTAATTTTTGGCTAATGATGTCAGAATTTACCCATATTTTGGAATAGATGTGTGAATGGTTGTTTCCGCATAAGTTCCAGAATGTCCTTGCCTGTGTGAACAGCACATATTTTAATTTACCGGTAAAGTGGTTCTGGTAATTTCTCGGATATTTACTGGTAACGGTGTGTGAAAGAGGCTAATCGACACTATATCACAACACTAACATCGTGTGTTTTCTGCTTTCTCTCAGGATTGTTGGTGAACAAGTCAGACACACCACTGTCACTGGAGGAGTCGTACCATCGGCCAGTAAAACTGCTGTCTGAGGACTGTGACATTGGGTCAGAGCTCACACAGACTCTATTACCCAACGGACACACACACGCGCCCAGTTCAGCTCTAAACCAGAGCCAATCCTTTAGGCGGGACAGTGACTAACGCCACACCAAGCCTCTTCTTGACATCCTTTTGCACTGAGAACTGCTACCTCACACTGAGGGGCGCAGAAAAAACCCGCCCCGATTTTCTGAACAGAATTAGGGGCGTCCGGAGTTTGAAGGTTATAAAGCTTGAACGGGGCGATGACGACGTCCCATACGAGCGTTATTGATGTATATAGGTATAAATCCTCCTCAGGGAGGCTTCATTCACACTTCAGAAATGTGATTTGCATTTGACGCATGCAAAATATATGACAGAGTGCTATAACGTCGGGCTTGGAGCTGTACATAAGAGTTTTCATATATAAAGATATGAATGTATGTATACTGTAACTTTTACAAACGAGTGTCGGACTATTCGGTGCATGGTGAGATCAGAGTGATTCTTGTTTTTTTTTAAGATCTCTCCTGCTTTTCCCAGTTTTATAAGCAGTGCCTTATTGCCACAAGCTTGGTTTTTGTCTGGAGATGTCGGTGTTGTGTTACCTTTCACAAAAATGGGAAATTTGTCACGCACTTGAAGTTAATATAAGTTTAAATTGGTCGGATTATAGGAATATTCCAGGTTAAACATGAGATATTGAGTACCCATGGTAATAAATAGGTGGTGAAAAAAGAACTAGAAAAGTAATGAATATTAGGTCATTTTTTAAATTGTGAACAATTCCACAGTTCAGATTTGAGGAGGTCATTTGCCTTTTTTTGGCATAGATACATAAAATAAATCAAACGAGACAGTAAATACGTTTTTACTGAAGGATTTAAGTTCTTTTGAACTTCTTTTACTTAAGTTTTTATTAAATAAATGTAGTGCTCATGAGTGTTAATCTAAAAAACAAAAATAAACAGTCCTCGGATGCTCTTTTATTCAATTAGTTTTTTTTTTATTTACTGACTTACTGTTACTAAAATATATGTTAGAAGCAATTATAATCAACAGTTTCAACATATTTTTAAAATAACATTTTAACTTAACCCATAGTGAATGGTGAGTACTTTGAGCACATACTTTTTAAAAAGTCGACTTGTGGCAGATTATTGCTTTAGCAGGAAAATGAAATGAAAAAGTGCTTAATTGTTATAAACAAAATCCACGAAATATGAGTTGAACATTTTATATGGAACCTCTATTTTTTTTAATATAGAATTGAAATTGAAACTCAAAGCCCAAAACAAAAAGGACAAAAGCGTCTGCTAAATGACAGTATGTTTACATGGACACCAATAATCCGATTTTAATAATTAAGACAATACTCTGATTCAGAGTCTACCATGTAAACAGTGATTTTTGATTAATTTAATCCAAAGGTCATAATCAAAATAAACAGAAATTGGAGTAAGATGTGGAGTATGCTGATTTTATTCGAATTATTGAAGTGTAGTATTTAAACACCTAACAATCAACCTATTACCATCATGTAGGATTTTCGACGTATTTTGCAACAAGATAGTCTATACAGGCTGTTTGACAATATTCTCTGCACCGACCGAGTCGGTGAAGGACCACAGATGCACACATTGTGAAATGCGGAGGTTTATTTGCTCATACAGCGTGCAGTATCCCATTCCATTACAACTTCCATAAGTTCATACTCGCATGCAACTTCATGTTAGAAACAGGGACATGCATGAAATGTTCTTGAATGAAAGTGAAAGTGCCAATTACAGTTAAAGTCGACAAATTAAAAATTAAACGCCCGAAATAACATGAAACTCTGGAGGAAATGAAGATAGCGTGGTGACGCGATGAAGGTAATCGAATTATGTGCTGACATGTAAAACGAGATCATGAAAGAAACATTCATGAAGCAAATCACATTAAGGCAAACAATCGATAACTGATGTCCATGTAAACGTAGACAATGTAAAATCGGAAAATTAAAGAGATTTGTTTACTTATTTGAGTTTGACATCTCTAAAGATGTGCTTAGAGAGTAATTCATTCATTTTCTATACGCCTATTTCCAATCAAAGAGCATCAGAGGGTTTTTCTTAAATCTCTAGAATTGACGTTAATTGCTAATTGTAACTCAATAAATAATGAAAATTTACTATTAAAATAGTTGTCAAGCAGTCTTAAAGTTAACGACACACACATTTACATGCTTTACCAAGACTCTCCATAGTAGTAATCTACTTTATACTGTAAAAACTGCTTGTTATATGGCCTTAACGTACCCCTAAACCCAACCCTTGGAGAAAACTGGTGGCAAATTTTGAATGTTGAAAAACCCTGTTAAGTATTTTAAGCATTTTGAATGACAAGGACACAAAACAGTCCTCATAAACCACCTTAGAGTACAACTAGTTCATCCCAACAAGTTTGCATTCATGTAAACCACATAAACAAGTACACACACACACACACACACAAAACAGATCAAGTATTATATTTGCTATCAATATCTAGTGTTTAATCTGGAATATTCCTTTGCCGTAATATATACGCTGTGATCTGTGATGAAGGAAGAGCTCCTCGTTGAATTTTCAGGTCTGTTATGGAGCAGAAACTGAGAACATTGGCATGCGGGAAAATATAAGCACTTTGATGAATCTTACAAAAGCTGAACACTCTTACACCCTGAAATTGTGCCGCAATCGAGCCTCTTCTGTTAACAAAGGTACACGCCACTACTATCTGAAATGAACTTCTTTTTAACACTTGGGAAATATCACAACTATTAAATAATGAAACAGGGAGAGCGGTTCTAACATTGACTTCTAGCTAACAACAAAACCATACGCTGCCAAAACACAAAAGGGAAATAAATACGAGTCTCTAGAAAGAGTCAAGCTGCATTTTGCATTCAGGGTTTTCCTTCAACTACAGAATGTCTTGGTGGAAAGGGAAAACAAAGCGTCAACAAAACATTATTAATTAGCCTGAGCCAAACAGGTTCATTTTTAAAGCCCGGTTTCTTTGTTTTGTGTTTTTTTTTTTTTTAACTAAAACATCTCTACTACTAAACTAGGGGAGTGTTTGTAAAGGTAGATTACAGCGGATGCCAGTTTAACCCTAAAATGTTTTGATACTGTGGTTAGCTGGCTATGCTAGCTCTGTGAAGAAGGCCATAAACTGTACGGATGTGTGCCTCAGCCCGTTTCATACGGATTAATTTATTGAAATATTGAGCTCTAATCACAGCTGTTTCACCTACATGCCTAAAACTGTGTCAAAAAAGTGTCAAAATGGCGGGTGTTCATTAAAGTCACATTTTGCTCTTTTACATCCATCTGGTCTGTGTGTCTTTGATGTTCGGTGGTTGAAATGACTTTAATATCAGAGTTTGGCATCATGTTCTTTGATAAAAAATATATAAAGATTAAAATACACACATATAATTCATTCAACGTATGTATTTTCCCTCAGTGTTAATTAATTAACAACTTTAGTGAGGCCTGTTTGACCTCAATAATCAACTGAAGACCGTTTCTAACAGAGGATCAACAATAAATTAATTGGTACACTTTAAAATAACGGTCCAGTAGTTTATGTATTTATTAACATGAACAAAAGATTGGTAATGTATTTATTACGGTGTTTATTCATATTTGTTAATCTTATTTAAATTAAATAATGTTAGATCATGTTAGCTCAAGAGTGCATTAACTAATGTTAACAAGCACAACTTTGGATTTTAATAAGGCACTAGTTAATGTTGAACTATAATTAATAAATACAAAATTATTCATACTTAATATTAGTAAATATGTAACTAATGGACTATTGTTCTAAAGTGTTACCAATAAATTAATGTGCTGTGCTACTTCATGTTGCTTGCATTTATTGTATTTTAATTTAATATCATATTGATAAACACTGGTTTGACGAGCGAACAGTTGCAAAACATTTACATATAGTCATTTAAAAGATGCTTTTGTCCAAACCGACTTACACTACCTGACAAAAGTCTTGTCTATTCAAGTTTTAGGAACAACAAATAATATATTGACTTCTAGTTGATTATTTGGTATCAGAAGTGGTTTATATGAAAGGCAAAGGCTTCTAGATTATGCTTATTCTACTTCTCATGAGCTTGGAGGACTGCATCCATACATCTCTGCAATGACTTAAGTTATTAAGAAAGTTATCTGGAATAGCAAAGTAAGCGTTCTTGCAGGACTCCCAGAGTTCATCAAGATTCTTTAGATTCATCTTCAATGGCTCTTCCTTCACCCCAGGCATGCTCAATAATGTTCATAACAGGAGACTGGGCTGGCCAATCCTGGAGCACCTTGACCTACTTTGCTTTCAGGAACTTTGATGTGGAGGTTGAGAAGGAGCGCTATCCTGCTGAAGAGTTTACCCTTTCCTGTGGTTTGTAATGTAATGGGCAGCACAAATGTCTTGATACCTCAGACTGTTGATGTTTATCAGGAAAAATCTTCCTTCTGCCGCTTTTCCGAATGATCAACTAGAAGTCAAGTTCTTATTTATTGCTCTTACAACTGGAATCAACAACAAGACTTTTGTCAGGTAGTGTACAATTGAGGAGGTATTCAGCGATTCAACAAGAAGAGGCAATACATACAAGAAGTGCTGATTTTTCATAGTAACTTGTTTGTGCTCAGAGAATTTAGTGGTAGAATAGGAAGGAGAAAGGATTTCTCATTTGAAGGATACCAATTTATCCACAGCCCAAGTGGGAATGGGAAGATCACTCCACCAGTGAGGAACATTGAAGGAAAAGGTTTTGGAAAGTCACTTATAGCCTCTCTGCGATGGAACCACATAAGGCGGGGCTCCCACCCTGATCGGAGACTCTAGGAGGGGGTGTAGACCTTTAGGAGCAGGTGGGGGTAAGAGGGTGCAGTTCCAGTGGCTATCCTGTAAGCCAGGGGTCACCAATCCTGGTCCTGGAGGGCCGTTGACCGTGCAGTGATTAGCTCCAAGACCTTGATTAGCTGGTTCAGGTGTGTTTGATTGGGGTTGGAGCTAAAGTCTGCAGGACATTGGCCCTCCAGGAACAAGTTTGATGACCCCTGCTGTAAGCAAGCATCAGTGATCTGAATTTCATCCGAGCTTAAACAAGTCACCAATGCAGAGAAATTAAAGAAAGTGTTACATTGGCTTTCTTTGGCGTAATGAAGACTAGACAAACTGCAGTGTTCTGGATCATCTGTAGAGATATGATGATAAAATATGATTATGAAACAATTGCTGTGTCTCATTTCAGAGGCTGCATCCTCCAAAGGATGCAGACTTTAAAGGTGAGTCCTTCGAAGTCCACACAGGCTGAACTGAGTGTTTTGAAATTTGACGATCTAGCCTACAGAGGACAGATCTCATCACCTAGCAACCATAACAGCTGCTGTTACAACATGCTAATAACATTTATAATTACTTATTTTTTTCAAAGTGATTTTAAACTTATTGTAAGCGATCTGAAGGCAAAACAAGGTTTATAAACACTGGAAATAAATTTCCTTTGATCCATGTACACATAAAAATGCGAACGGTTTATAAACTCACTCTTCAGTAAGACATTTCTTACTCTTTTTTTTTTTTTTTTTTTTTTGTAATATGTATTTACATATCCACATAAAGTAAACCTAATTCACACATTTAAACAGGAGTTGTTTTTTTTTAAAGCATACTGCCGTTATCAGCACGCAATGAATCTTGGGAAGTTTGAGGCTGCGAATGATCCATCGATTGTGTCCATTACCTGGGAAACGAAGGACAAATTTTGAGGCTTGAAGGAGCCTTCGAATTTTTTGGAAAAGAGACAGCCTTTTGTCACGCCACAAAGACGCAGCGCACTTCGAATGCAACCTTCGGAGGATGCAGCCTCTGAAGTGAGACAGCTAATGTCTAATATCTAGCTAAATTTGCAGGAGCATTAGCTGTTTTAGCGTACTTGGTTTCACCTATTTATTATTAGCACTCATAATTAGCTCATGCTACTAGCGGTAGCATTGATAGCATCAGCTCAGGTTGTAAGGGTTTTTAATAGTTAATGTTTTCTCATGAGTGGGCGTGGTTGCAGTGGACACGCCCCCAGACATTTGAGAGCAAATTCCTGCTTATTTTTAACAAAAAAAAAGTATAACAGTTTAGTCACACGTCTCTTTTATTAATACAATTTGGCGAGGAAGAGTGGTCATGAAGCTTTTTTTCTGTTGTGTGACAAACTCCAATCACATAATTTAAATATCGCTTTACACTGACTTTAAAGCTTTACTATTTTCAAATTCTGAGTCCAGAAGAGTTATTAATTTAAAAACTTTTTTTTCTATTACTCTTATTAACTCCAGCATAAAGCAGATGTTGATGACAGAAGGTGGTCGTAAAAGAGAGCCCCCAGACTGAATTGTTGCTTCAGTCAAACTCTCCGGATTGTTCTTGTGCTCTGAGCTTCATGACAGGTCTGACAAACACTAACAGTTGTGCACTAGTCTAGTCTTTCTCTTCATTCTGCTAAATTCTCTGTTTCTTCAGCTAATAATAGTCAAACAGGTTGAACAACAAGCTTCAATTTGGGGATTGAAGCCTAGACTCAAGATATACTATGGTGGACATTTTACTTCACTACATTCCAAAAGCAAATACAAAATTAGAGAAATCACCTGCTCAGAGACACTGATAGCGAAGTCTGACTAATGAACAATCTGATTCTTTTGAGTCTCCAGTTAATGATTTACTGATTGAAATGAACCATTAGAGTGAGTCTCCAATTAATGATTCAGTTTTAAATGATTTATATTCTTAATGATTCAAATGATCCAATCAGAGCAAATTTCCAGTTAACATTTCAGATTCAAACGATCCAGTCAGAGCAAATCTTCAATTAAAGATTTCCTGATTTAAATGATCTGGAAGATCCGCCTTCGGGAAAACTGTAGTAATTTATAATAAACGTTCTTGAACCCCATAGTAAAGTGTATAATGTGTACACCTGTACTACTGTAGCATAGTAAACTGTAATAAATACTGTAACATTAGTGTAAACGGTGGTGCATCGTGATGGTGTATAACTTAAGTGTAGAAAACTGAAGCCTATTGAATAATTAGTTTATATATAATTAGTTGTGTCATACCGCAGCAACAATATAGTTTCTACAACAGTTTAATTTAACTAATTATCTATAGTATGCTTCCAAACTATAGTATTTGCTACAGTAATTTTCATGTAACATAATAGCTTATACAGTATAAACCACCTCGATGACAGGCAACTATATTTTAGTTCAGTAGAAAACTCTGCCCTCTTCATGATATAAGGATCATGCCCAACCAACGTATGTGCTTATTTTCTATTTATATCTCCTCTGAAATGTGGAATAAATCATAAAAATACAAACTTCTACAAAGTCTCCCATTAATTTTATTACGTCCTGTCCTCCATCTGAATTTTGCGCGTTACCAGAACCACGTGATTGCAAAAAACCTATTCCTGTTAGTGTTGTTGTTTTCAATGATGTTCAGACCATGATGGGGGAAGAAATTGCAGAGCTTCCGAACACACTCATGTAATTGCTATGAACCAATTGTGGCTAAAAGGTGTTGAGCAAAAATATATACACTATATCGCATAAGGACCCTGAGCATGCGTCAATAGCGCCGCTACATTTCAAAGGAGCGCTACCCTGTACTAAAATGGCGGCTCTATTGATGCATTTCTTCCAATAGATAACAACAGGGTAGGCGACATCTAATGTATATGTATCTATTCGTGTTGAGTAATCAAAACACTGTACTCCCCACAAAGTTTGAATTGGTGAGTTGTTTAAACTGTTGAAATGGAATCACAACATACTTTGTTTCAGCTGGATTTTGTTCGACATTTGTTTTTCGTTCTTAGATTTTTCTGAAATACACAGGGGTCTTAAGGGGAACTAAAAAAACAATCAACATAGGTTAATTCTGACAACGTAGCCCTATATACATTTATAGAGAGAACAAATTATGCAGCCAGAGCTACGCATGGCTGCATTTCATTTTTAAAACAGATGCTAAGGGACGGTATGACATTGTTCCTTTTCTTGATAAGCAGCTGACCGCTCACCTGCATGTGGATGGCTTTTCCACTGGTGGCAGTTTTTCCGATAGCTCGCCATGTACATCGGCGGAGTTGAGATGCAGAGCAGAGTCGACCACGATGGTCGCTTGGTCAGTCAGTTAGTTAGTCAGTCGGCCTCTGGTGGATTTATGTCAAAAGAGCAGGTGTGAATGGCACTCGCGAGAGAAATTTGAGATCTGAAGTGTACACAGCGGCCTCTGGCGG